TCTATCTATCTATCTATCTATCTATCTATCTATCTATCTATCTATCTGGTTGTGTATCCTGTCTGGTTGAACAATAGAAGTGGGTCACAGTTACAGCTGTGCTTGCATGTACAAAAATGGGTCACTGGCACACGGTGCTGGTGAGTTTGTGTGTGGGGGTGGTGAAGTCCTTTATTTTCCCTGACACACAAAACGTCTGCGCTGGATGTGAATTAGCCATCATCTTGAAATGAGCAGTTAAAGCTTTTCAAACAGCGGATCAGTCTGTCCCTGTTTGTGTAAGCTCACACAGTGTCTTCATGGAGGTCTGACATAGCATGTTTGATGGTGAGTGCTGCGGATTAAGAAAGAATTAATAAAAATGCTGCCAAACACGACTTGAAGGCTCTAAATTGCCTTTAATCTTGCCATCCAAAAAGCTATTTTTCTTCTGTTGTTAATGTATTATTGATGTTAAAAGGCAGCTTGGCTTTAAATATTAATGTATGATTCAATGAAATTATCTCAGTTGAATGTGTGCAACACATCTTGCTGATTTTTCTTCCTCGAAGCAGAAAGATTAGATGATAATTCGCTCCGTGTCCTTGCCAGGTGCCAGTCCTGAGGCCCATGGACCTGATGGTGGAGGTGAGCCCACGGCGGGTTTTTTCCAATGCCCACACCTACCACGTCAACTCCATTTCCGTCAACTCGGACTACGAGACCTACATGTCAGCTGATGACCTGAGGATCAACCTCTGGCATCTGGACATCACTGACCGCAGCTTCAGTATCCTTTTGTGTGTTTCTGTGCGCCCACTTAGATCAGTGATCCAAGAACACTTACACAACGCACTCCCATACTGCAAACTCTACTTTGTTGCATGTATAAATGCACAAAGACGCACATCACTGGGGGAGGGGAACATTCTTGCGGGGTAAAAATGCATTTTAATGAATAATTTAGCAGCCGCATAAATATTTTAGCATATTTTTTAGTTCTAATCCAGTTCAGTAGTCATATCCCTGACCCAGACAGAGTTTATTTCATTTCAATTTATCTGAATGGGGAATTACTTTCCTGCCAAAAATGCCCCCTAGATATACTTTTATTGGTATACTTTATCCGGCTGTAGAATATTTACATTGGATTGGAATTGCTTACATATACAGGGGGGGTATTGCTTGTGTTATGTGTGTGGATTGTGGGCCTTAGATAGAGTTCAAATGAATGAAAAGACTGTGATTAGTTGAAGCTGAAGCAGCTGATGCTCTGTTGTTTGCCTGAGCGATGCCCTCTTCTATCAGACATCGTGGATATCAAACCAGCCAACATGGAGGATCTGACTGAGGTGATCACAGCCGCTGAGTTTCACCCCCACCACTGTAACCTGTTTGTCTACAGCAGCAGCAAAGGGACGCTACGCCTCTGTGACATGAGGGAAGCAGCACTTTGCGACAAGCACTCCAAACGTGAGTAAAACCGGCATGTTCTTAGATGATCAAAACATGTTTATGTGTTTTACAGACACAACAGGGCTTTTACTATGACTTTAGACTAATCTCTTGACCCCTCCCTGGCAGCCAAAATTGGCAGATTACAAATGTACCAAAAGCATGGATTCTGTTGCATCTGTGATGCCAGTTCCATCCGTATCACTACATGATCAATGACAACTTTTGGCATTCCCAGATTTTTCCATGGACTATAGCATCATGACAGACATATTGCAGTGCAATGGGCAACATGCTCCTCCTTCAGGACAGTTTTTCTTTCAGCTAACACTGTATGGTTGAAATGTGAAATTAATATTCTAATTTTTGCAAGAGTAGTCTGATTCAGTATAATTCCACCCTGGCTGCACGTCCCAGATCCCCATCAACATCAAACTTTAATCATAATTCAGTTTCCCTTCGTCCGACGTCTTGGAAATAATGTTTGAGCGAATCCATCCAGTAATTGTGCCAACAAAAAGATATAACTTTCCGACAAAACAGCCCAAAGTAATTAATCCCATTTGCCCAGTTTGTAAATTGAGTTTTATTCTCGTGAACGAATTCTAACACAATGACTAATTGGCTTGCAGAACAGTATGTTGTGTCATTGTTAGCATTTAGGTCACAGTGGATCCTTCTTAGTTTGCTTGATTTTTGTAGTCTGGGGGTTGATGAGCTGACTCACTTTGTGAATATCTGAAATCTGTGAGATGTCTGGGTTTCTCACAATATGGGAGCACAACGTCTCGGGTTTTCCCATCCTTCAACATCCTCTAAGGGCGAAAATTCAATTGAGGGTGCATTTTTCTTAAGGCTCATGGTATCCAAGGTTTCTTTTCCACTATCTTCTTGCTGAAGTTTGTCTCATCGACTTATAGCCCTGGCCATGAGTCACTGGCGTGGTGCTTATTCAGAAGCTGTGCTCCACAGACAGTCAGGGCGATCAGTTCTGTGCTTCATTGTAAACTTTCAGAGAAAGTTAAATCCGTGTCTGTGCACCACAGTGTGATTCACCTGCAGTGTGTTTCTCCTAATCATTTGGCTCAATTGCTCTCCTCTAAGTCCATCTCTGCCACCCTTTGCAGTGTTTGAGGAGCCGGAGGACCCAAGTGCCCGCTCCTTTTTCTCTGAGATTATCTCCTCTGTGTCGGACGTGAAGTTCAGCCACAGCGGACGCTACCTGCTCACCAGAGACTACCTGACAGCCAAAGTCTGGGACCTCAACATGGAGAGCAAGCCCCTGGAAACGTACCAGGTGTGTGACCGATTCTGCAGGACAAACAGGAAGAAAGACACTGAAAAAAAAACACCTTTTTAAAAATGACTATCCGTACACAGGTAATACAGTGAAGTTTCTCTCCATCAGGGAGCACATTTTTTGACCATATATACTGAGCAGTAGTCACACTGAAACATTTTATACTGAATAAATTCTTAACCTGTAGAACAGGAATACCTTCAGATATTTAGCCATTCTCAAGTCTTCTAAAACTGTAGTCTGTTTTTCTGTCCCATCTTCATATCAACATGACTTTCAAAGTCGAAAGTTTAGCTCTTTCAAACAGAGAAAGATCTCAACGTATCTTTTAGGCACACGTTGAAACTCCTGAAAAAGTCACATACTGACAGAAGTAAATGTTGTATTAAGCACTATTAAGCACTTTTGAGCTGATATGTCTGACCCTCCACACTTCTTGTTAATACATTATTTCACGTATTCTGATCTTTTTGAAAACTTTAGGGTAATTTATGTTGTGGGCCAATTAAAACGAATACATTATGATGTGCATTCATATCATAAACATGTTTTGGATTAGGAACTGTATATGTTCACATAGCCTAATTCTGAAAGTTAAAAATAAGTATTCTAATAGAATAATAAATTGAAATTTAAAATGAGTTAATGCCCTTTAAATGCAAAGTGTTCTGACTTGAATCACACTTGAATTGTTCATGCTGTTGAGTGACTGGCTGTCCCTTTAGTGAAAGGGGGGCATCATCATCCGGAAAAATATGCAGAGCTGTAGAAATGAGTCATGGGTAGAAGGTTGCCTCACACAGTCACAGTACTTACAAACGATTGAATTTCTCCAAGACCTTTCAAAGATGATTGAATTGATTGCAGGCCAAAAAAAGCACTCCTCATCCACATTAAATCAGTAAGAAACCCTCACTGGGGTCAGCTTTACAACGTAGGATAATAATCTGTAGTAATACGGAAAATCAAACGGTAAACCACCTTTTGTGAACACTGTGAGGGACAGAGAGTAACAATACTTGATATGCTGTTGAAAATTAAGTTGATAAATGAGTGTTGTTCTGTTTGTTTTATTGTAATCTTTTTGTGTCACTACAGAGTGTTAACAACAAGTCTCTCAAGCTTCTGTTTATCCATTTCTGGATAATAGAAGTGTTCATCATCCTTCTCTCTGCCTGTGTGTTTAATATTCCTGCCGTGGGCACTTTGGTGAACATGAGAGCTGTGAACGTGTGTGTGTGTGTGTGTGTGTGTGTGTGCTCCATGTGTGAGGGCCTACGAGGCAGCCAGTAGTGGGAGGCTAAGACGCACCAGGCCTATTTATAGGCCACCGAGCCTCCACTCATAAAGTAAAGCAGGAAGAAGGGATACCTTACACAGTGGCTGACATCTAGATCTGCAATGCAGCACGGAGCGGGAGGAAGGGGGGGTGGGGGGAGACGGTGGGCGTGGGAGGGAGGAACGATAGTCTGATGAAAGGAGGAGAGATGTTTGGGGAGAGTAATTGATAGGCTGGCAAGGGTTGTACCATGGAGAGGAGGGAAAAAAGAATGTTAATCATTTTTTCATGTGAATTACTGCTTGAATTAGTATTAGACAAGGGCTGGTATCCATCTAAGTCACAGTTTTGTAAAAGAATTTGTAGACAACAAATTGTTGTGTTGTTTTCAGCTATACATTATTCAAACAAAGGTTATATCTATTGTGGGTTATAATTACTTTAAGGGAGAAAGAACTCTTCGTTTTTTTCCATTGCCAACAGAAAAAAAAAGGAAACTTATGGATCTTATCCTGGTGAGAGGCAGTACAGAACAGGTTGCCAGTCACTTTGAAAATATCACCTGACACATGATACGCTACATTATGGTGGAGTATTGTGGCTCTGGGTTTTAGATTTATGAATTTATCAAATATCTGCAGCTATTTCAAAGGGAAAATTTCAAAAACTGGTGTAACATTTGAGTGTCCATCTCTGAAACAGACAGACACGTTTTTGTGATTAAACCTTTAGGCCATTAGGTATGTCAGCATTCTGAAAAAAAATCATCAGCTATGTCTGGCATCATATAAGGACATGAAATGTGCTGATGTTGTGTCCAGTATACAGAAGAAACCTTTGTATTTAGGGTTCAGAATAATTGGACAGACGAAGATTGTGGTGGTCAGTGGGAAGAAGACCCCAACAGTGAATGAAATCCAAAACAGGTTTACTTTTAGCCTTCTGGCCCTGCTCAACAAAGTCTAAATTCAATTATCTGACCAGTGATATAGGTAACTATTTCCAAATGGCTGTCTCAAAATAAATCTAAAAAGACTGAAATAGGATGTAGAAAAATTCTAGAATTTCAAGATCTGACCTCTATGCTATCCTATTTTGGAGATTCGCACCCATTTTCCTTCTGGAACACAACAATGCCGCAGTGAGCGAGGAGATATTAATTCTGGTTGGCACTTTTTTTCTTCAATCATAGTTTGAGCACACTGGGGGAAAAAAAAAAAAAAAACGCCTCCTAGCTCCAGCTGACATCGTCTCTTTCGACCCTGTGTAAAAAGAATTGTCCCGGGGTTTGATGTGCTAGCGTGGGGCGACCTCAGCTTGACCGCTCATTGATTGCAGCGCAGCTGTTGACTGCTGACTCCATGCAGAATGGGAGAGGTGGAGCCCAATTCTGCAGCACAGGGGGCTGCTGAAAGGGGCTGGATTTCCAACCCTTGCATCACCCAACAGACACAGTGCTGACACAGACAGGTCACAGGAAGTCATCGGTCAGTGTATTTGTATGTTTGCTCACAAGCCAGTTTCGGTTTATCACCTCCTGCCCCTGAGTGCTGGTGTTAAGTCCTCTGTTTGGGAGGTGTGTGTTACAGCAGGGCTGGATCGGATGGATGCAGTCTGTTTTGAGTTGTGTGTATGTGCGTGTGTGTGTAAGTATGTGTGAGTGTCTTCTATTCTCTATTTGTAGTTCACACTGGGAGTCAGTACCTGGGAATGAAGCTGCTCCGCACCAGTCCCATTTTTGAGCGTTTCTGTTTGCCTGTGTTCTTTCAGGTTCACGATTACCTCCGCAGCAAGCTGTGTTCCCTTTACGAGAACGACTGCATCTTTGATAAGTTCGAGTGTGCCTGGAATGGCTCAGACAGGTACCTGATGTGATGTGGGATATTTGTGTGTTTCTGTGTCCACGGAAAAAACAAACTATTAGCTATTTTCAGACACATTTTACGCTCCCCCCCCCCCCCCCTCCCTTATTTAGAGACAGTTCTCCTAAAACAACAAAGCAATACATAAAAAAAGAAATAGACACTTGATCTATTGAACAAAAACTTAAATATCCACACCAAACTGCTCTCTGGCGCGTGCCCAGCCAGGACGGCTCAGACAGAAATGTCCATCAGACGGAAATGTCTGAGCCACACAGTAATGGCTGTTGCTGCTCCAGAGTTCCAGTGTGCAGATGGGAGAATTTTATGGGATGATCATCTGTGCAGCACTCTACCCATCAGGTCTTTATAGAGGATTAACCAAATGAGAGAAAGCAATTTGGCTTTTAGTGTTTGAGTGGTCAACTGCACCGACCTGCCACGGCTTCTCTGAAAATCCTTGAAAATGGCCGACCGTGCTCTTTTTCTCCATCCTCCAACCTGGTGGAGAGTTGCTGCCAAACCTGAACGATATGTAAGCTGTGGTTAAGATCACATGCTATGAACAGGATGATGAAACAGGTTTACGTTTTTGGTTGTACCTGATGAGGGGAGGCTCTGAAGTTAGTGTTTCCAGCATATGTTCTTATCCATGTACAAGACTTCTCTAACTGGAAACTCGATTCTAAATCTTGACCGCTTCTTCTCCCCTGCTCTTCCCAGCGTGATTATGACTGGAGCCTACAACAACTTCTTCCGCATGTTCGACCGCAACACCAAGCGTGACGTGACCCTGGAGGCCTCGCGGGAGAGCAGCAAACCCAGGGCCGTCCTGAAGCCGCGGCGGGTGTGTGCAGCCGGGGGGAAGCGCCGGAAAGACGACATCAGCGTGGACAGCCTGGACTTTACCAAGAAGATCCTCCACACAGCCTGGCATCCCAACGAGAACATCATCGCCATCGCTGCCACCAACAACCTGTACATCTTCCAGGACAAACTCAACTCGGAGATGCATTAACGGACAGGTGGAGGATTTGAAAGAGTTTACACTCAAACACACAACTATGCTAGAATGTACATTATCATCACACAGCCACACACCCAGGAAGATGCCTCTGACACACATATACACACACACACACCATCAGAATACACACATCTACTCCCTCACCTCCTCCTCAGCCTCCCAGAGCTGAACGGACCCATTCAGGGCGAGAAGGGGAACTTGCTGGATTACGCCGTGGATTACAGGTTGCAAAATTGTCTGAGCTGTGGATTTCTTTCTTGTTTAGCCTGTGGATTGTGCTTGATGGTGTGTTAATTGTTCAGTTTCTGAGGGGTTTCAGCCTCCCCCCCCAGACAAGAGAGACGTTTACATTTTTTTCCCGTTTGTTTTTTTAAAAACCTTTTGGCTCTTATGCCTCCTCCTCCTCTTCCTCCTCCTCCTCCTCCTCCTCCTGTCCTCAATGTGTTCGTGCGCTGGAGCAAAGCCTATTCTTATCCCTTGCCCACTGTTTTGTGTATCAAAAACCCTCCGTGGTTGTCTACCAGCACTGATGAGAAATGGGGCATTTATATAACTGGCTGTTTGTCTGATTTCAAATCGGCCGTTCTGTTTTTTGTGACTTCTTGTTAAACGATGTTGCCGACGGCGGTTCTGATGACAGCGTGAGGAGACGCTGGCGATGTGTGAGGATGTACCTGTAACCCTCCCCTCAGCCCACGTTTGCCACGTCCCTCCCTGATTCAGGAGAGCTGACCAAAAGCTGGGCTGTGCTAAGCGAGGGGAAACAATCACGGTCCTACAGACGGAAGCAGAAGTTAGTAGAATTATTACAACATGAGGATGCACATTCAAATCTGCAACAGTGTGTTTTCAGGATGAATGCTCTCCCTGTTGGAACAGGGCTGATCCTCTCTGATCGTGGTTTCTGCTTGTGTTCTGGGGCTGTGTTTTGTGCTGCTTTGACACTAAATATGTTAAACTCAGATCAAGCAAAAATAAGAACAAAAATAAAATAAAAATGTCAATAAAGGTTTCAATAATCGAGCAAAAAGATGCTGCATGTCGAACAGATTTAGCCTAAGTATTTAGAAATTGATTGACTGACTTGGTTGCCTTCTTAACCATCTAGACCCAGCTGTACAAAAGCTTCAAGGGCCACGGGGCTCCTCACAGCACGAGTAACCATAGATTACCGAGCCCGTCCTATGTTTATTTGTGTCCTTGGACACAGAAGCATGTTTACCAGTGTTGGGTTCAAACATGTACACGTCCATTTTGAATGAAGCCGTCCACAAGTCAGTTTCTGTTCACTGAAACTGAGAGCCAAGAAAAATGGGGAATGTCTCAGATAAATGTTGTATTTTAAAGGAACAAAAAAAAAAAAAATCAAGGAACCTCAATGGTGTCTGTATATATCAGCTCTGTTTCTGACATGTTTGGGGTTTTGTTTTTCTATCAACCAACTGCTGACTCAGCCGTCTGTACCGATGACTGTCCCCAAAGCTACAGCGAAGAGATAGTACTGAAATCTCTTTGGCCTTCCTCACTGTTTACTTTGCAGATGTGCAGATATGCTTATTTTTAGAAAAAGTGTTTTTCTTTTATTTGTTTGGAACATCCGTCAGCTGTACGCCACGTCCCTAAAAAAAACTAATGTTGATTCAAATATTTTTGTCTTACTCTATGTTGACATGATTGTCCAATGGGCAGTTATAAATGATGTTAATACGCTTTTTTTCTGAATAAAGATTTCAAAGAAATTGCATCCAATGAGGGCACTGCCGTGATTTTTATTGTTGTGTTCAGCAGGCCAAATAGAGAATGGTGAGGCGCCACCCACAGTCCCTATGTGCTTATTACATAGAGAAATAAAAGGTTGCAGAATGTAAACATCCTTCATGACCAGCACGTGTCAGTGTCATTTAAAAAAATAAATCCCATGGACACGAACAAACTGATTCTTTTGAAAGTTCTCAAAATCAAAACAGCATCCATAGCTGAAACTCTGAAATGTGGCCTTAAGAGCAAATCATGTTTGTCACACAGAATTAGCTCCAAACTGTGTTCCAGATTGATATAATGCAGGACAAATTTAATGAAAACATCAAAGCCAATCATGTTCCAATGTTTATAGATCACAGTATAGAAAACAGTAGTGGCAGCCTGAAGTGCAACACATCATCACATAGAGACTTTAAATGTGGAGTACATTCAATCCCTGCACAGCAGAGATGGGAATAAAGGGAAAAGGAATATTTAGACAGCGATGAGAAGAAGACATAAAATTGATTTGAACCCTTATCTAAATAGCGTTTTAAGTAAAGATCTTTTAAGTAAATATTTGAGAAATTTACGTCTGTTGCAAATTATGCCCCGTGATAACACGATATTCACTTTTTGTTATTACTTTTTATGTTGTATCTTCTGTCTTGTTGTCTTCTTGCCTTTTTCTAGAGAAGTATTTGACATTTGGACATCCAAATACATCCTAATGCTTCACATGAGCAGATACAACACCACATCTGTGTGATCTCTGAGATATAAATGGCACTTAAAAAAAAAAAAAGAGGTTAGAGCAGAAGTTGGGAACTGAGATTAGGCCTTCCTAAACAATGTCTAAACACAGGCTGTTTTTTTAAGGCACTTGAGACCACGCCACTTCAATAAGGACACTCCACACATATATTAAATATAAGCTTAAACTATTTAAAGTTTACAACAACTTTTCCTTCGGTAATTCTAATGTTTAAGACAGTTCACCAAACAAATTGTAGAATCTTAATATTGACGTTTTTGGCTGCAAAATGTCAAGATATTCATCAGCATATATGAGAATATGAATTAAACAAAGTGTTTGTTTGGCAAAGAAAAGAAAAGAAAAATCACACTGACTTCATTAAGAGTCACTTTGATGAACACACAAGCAGCTTACATCCAATGAAATGTTTATGTTTTAGTTACACAACAAGGGATATTGATGTGTTTCCTTGTGCAGCAATAGGCAGTATGACATTATTAGATTGTGTTTCTGCTCTGTTCCTTTCATCATATGTGGGGTTTGGCTTGAAAACTATAAGAATGCGAACCACACACACACACACACGCACACACGCACACACATGCCTGAGGTCACATCAATGCTATCTATGGTCAATAAGTCATTCATATTGCAGTTAACAGTGTTTATACAATCATTAGTGTTCCTCTGCAGAAAATAGTTATGAGGACTTATGAGGACTAAAAGTCCTCCTCTGGCACAGTCTCTGTCTCAGTCTCTGAGTGTTGCTCTAGCTGAGCGGTCAGAAAAGGGTTGAAGAAGAAGTCAAAACCAAACTGGAGGGCATTCTGAGCCGTGCGCCTCCAGTCGTGTTCAATCTTGTACTGCCTGCGGCTGGGAAGCTGGGTGTCCCCGCACGACAGGCAATGGATGGCTTTCATTTCAAACACGGGCCACTTGGAGCCCAGGCGCCCCTCCAGAATGGTGCTGAACTTCACCAGACTGCCCGTGTTCAAGTGGAGGAGCAGGGACTTGAACTCATTGCTTGCCCGCAAAACGATGTCCTTTGTGGCATCCTCGTCCTCTACGATTGTGCCGTTCCTGGTCTTCCTCTCCAGCGGCATGCCCAGGGTGACCTCAAACTTGTACCGGTCGAATCGTTTGACATGGCATTCGTGCTTGGCCAGTTTCTTAAGTTTACAGAGCGCATCCCCCGGAAGAGGAGCAGGAGCGGGCAGTGGCTGCGGCTCGGCGGTGGCGTTTTTTACGTCGTCGCACTTAGGATAGGGTTCGCCGTACAGGCACCGCATCCAATTCCCCACGAATACGGGCAGCAGGTTAATAACCGACTGGGGACCGTTCTCAATGTCGGTCACCCGGACGTATCTGAAGCGTCCGGTCCAGGTGACGCGGTGTCCTTCCAGGTGGGAGCAGAGGATCTGCGTCTGGGCCATGTTTGACTCTTTCCAGGCCAGAGGGCCGCACAGGTTGCTGTACTCAGGCCATGTCAGGGTTGAGTTGTACACCTTCATTCCTTCAGATCTGTAGACGTACATCCAGCAGAAGAGCACCACCGCACTGAGCCACACCAGGATGAGCTTCACAATGCTGCTGCGCGACAAAGAGCGAAAAACCACGATGGGGTTGAGGCTGAAACGGGTCCACAGCCTCAGCACTACCGGGACAAAGCAAATGGTCAGTGTGACTACCATCTTGGTGACCTCCAAAGTCAGAAACCACTGCACCAGCTGGATTATGAGCATCGCAGCCAGACCCAGAGAAAGTATGGGGAGGGCAAACAGGAAGAGGAAGTATCCCACACAGGTTCGGATGAGACCTATGGCTGATGCATTATTAAGGAACACCAAGCAGAGCTCACACCAGGTGAAGCAAACCAGATAGGGCACCAGGCACAGGTAGGTGCCCTTAAAGCCTCTCAGCTGGGCCATGCGGAAGAGGAGATAGAAAAGGTGTCCATACAGGAGGCATGGCACCCCCAGGTTTAACGCCACGGCATCTCCAAGAGGCACCGAGATAAACGTTGTCCCAAAGAACCTGAGGAACCAGAAGGAGTCTGGCAGGAGGTGAGTGAGGGAGCATGCTCCAGACAGAACCTCTGTGAGGAGGGCTCTACGGGCGAACAGCTGGGCAGAGGCGTGGAGGCTGAGGAAGGCAGTGACGGTGAAGAAGAGAGCGATGGCGAACAATTCAGAGCAGGGGATCCAAGATTTATCAGCAACGGGGAAGGAGAAAACGACAAAAACCACAGACAGCAGGAAATACCTGGAAAAACAGAGACTGGTTGTTTCCTTTTCTTTTTTTCATAAGAAATCTCTAAACAATACATTTTTCAGGGTAACAGAGTTGAACTTACAGGTAGGGCTCCAAGTGTGTCCATCCAAAGTTGGTCTCAGCCTGCTCCAGATCAAGACTGGGTTCAAAATGAGCGAGCAGGTCTGTGAGAGCCCTGAAATTTTCCCACGCCTTTGAATTCTGCAGAGAAAATGTATGGTTCGGATTTCCTCTCAAGAGCTTTTCATTTATAGATGGAGAGGCTTGAAATTACTACGGTTGCTCATTCAGCTCGCTAACCTGGAAAACACGCAGTGTGCAGATGACCATGGAGAAGAAGGACAGGTAGAAAACCAGCAGAGGGATGAGGAAGATGAAGAACTCGATGGTGAGGTTGGAGATGATAAAGAAGAAGATGAGTGCATTAACGTGGTGCGTTGGGATCAGGGCGCTGAGCCACTGCATGCCCGCTCGCGATGCCCAGTCGATGAGATGCTCCTTAATTTCAAGCAGGGTGTACAGGGGAAACTTCAGTAGCTGTGGGAAAAACAGGAAATAAGATGATCTAAATGAGCAAACAGATACCAGGGTTTTCATTTGATTTAAAAAAAATATGTATTAACAAATGGATGCACATCGACTGGTCATGAAAAACCAGTGGGATGATTGTGATATAAGGATGTGAGGGAAAGCACATGAGGGAAAGACAGTTAAGCCTTTGACAACAGAAACAGACTAAATAATAGCATGTTTGCATCCTTTTTCCGCATGTGCGCTGAAAGGGAGAGGGGAAAACAAAAGGACAAGAGGTCAACACAACGGCCACAGTCAGTCTCCCACCTTCTGATGCATCGGCAGCTCGTCTGGATTCTTCACCACCACGTCATCATCATCGTCATCATCGGCTGCAGCAGTCAGACGGTCAGACGGCGTGATTCCCTGAGCATATCTCTTTGTCATCTCAACAAACTCGTCAAGGCCCACATCCGAACTGGCTGCAGAGCAGGACAGAGGACACTCTTATTTTCATTGGTTTGCCTGAGTTTCAGAAACAGGGGACGGAGATAACACTTGTTTCATACACTGACCCTCACTGCTGACCATAGTCTCCAGGACTCGCCTTTGTTTCTTAGCAGAGCTGTTGAGTGGACCACGGAAGAAAGGTATGCCTGCAGATAGAGGATGGTTAATGTGAAATTATTTTTGACAAAGTCTCCCACAGACTAGTATCATGAGGACTGAAATTCAGTTGACCTACCTGTACCCGGTTCTGTATGGACATGTTCAACATTTTCCAGCAACTCAGAAACTGCCACTGACTTCTTCCTCTCTGGGTTGAGCTTCCAGTACATGAGCAGAGCGGCCTTCCTGACTCCTCTTTCATAACGTGTCTCCATACACAACTTCTTTACATCCTCAAAGTTCTCCAAGGTGATACCTTAGGGAAAGAAAAGACACTAAGAAACCAAAAAATTCACTTTTTTCTAAGGTTTTAGTTAGAGGATAGCAGTAGAAAACTTCCCCCTACCTTTCCTGGAAGATAAGCACTGCTGCAGAAGTCTGACAGCATCTTTTCGGCCCTGTTTGGCAGCCTGGATCAGCCAAGTGACAGCAGTACAATTGTTCAGCTCTTCATCACTTTCCTCTGCCAGAGCCAGGAAGTAACGGCCCATCTGAACACGCGAATGAATACACGCTCAGAAACTTGCCAGAGAAGCATTAGTGTGACACAGGGAGCTGTCCTTCCTGTAACACTGACTTTAAAACCACATTTGTCATGGTGTGACTGATCTGTCCTGTCTTCACCGTATGGCTGACAAACAGCCTTTGCAATAAGTTAATATCACTGACCTTAGTTTGTGCTTTTGCATCACCCGACTTTGCTTTTGCCATTAAATCCTCCAAAGTGACCTCCTCCTCAGCCTCCTCTGAAACAGAAAATCCTTCAATGAACACATTTCATCGTTTGTACTGGAAACTAGTTTGAACTGGTGCCAACATGCATCCTGGGTGGTGTGATCACTAGTGGAGAGCTCTACAAACACATGTGGCTGCACTCAAAATGTAGCTTTTGGCCACTTAACAGCCTGACCTCTACACAAGCAGCAGTTTGGACGGAGGTATTCTCACTCATGAAGAAAACCTCCAGCTCACCTTTCAGACATTGCTCCGAGATGCCAACGATGGAGCTGTGTGTGCAACACTTGAAGGCTTAATAACCGAAGCATTCTATATATCCCATAAAATTTGATGATATTCGAGGCACAAAAATCACGTTAAAACTTAAAAAAAATCTCTATCCTGTCCTCTCACCTCCCAACCGTGAAGGTGCATGACAGCGGATCCTGAGTCTGGTTCTGTTTGAGGTTTCAGCCTGTTGAAAGGGAGCTCCCTCTACTGTAACCCACTGGTCCATGCATGCTCAGGATAAGGGACTCAAGTTCCAATTTAATCCTATGGCCTAAAACTGGGCAGGCCAGTATTTTATGACTGGGAATTATGAAATATGAATACATCTGATTAATTAGGCTATTAATTTAGGGCACAATACATTTAAATAAACTAGATCTAATTAAGTGTTGAGTTTTCTGGAGTAAATTGAGATAACCCTGACTCAATGATTATGGTAGAGAGGGTTTTTTATGCTTCCTCTAAATATAAATAAATATAAATAAATATGGTCTTAATGCATTTTTAACGCACCCTTTACTACACTCTGCAAATATTGTCCAGACGAATTTAAACGCATCCCTAAGCTCATTCCAGAAACAGTTGGCCTTGATAGGACTGACTATTTTTAATCATGCACCTCTTTCAGCCAGTGATTTCTGCTCCTCTCATCTCCCAATTCTCCAGAAGAGGTTAAGCTGAACATATACTGTATTTACTTCAAGTAAAATAATAGTAAGATCTCTCATTTGGAGGAAGAAAATGGAAATTTCACTTCTGCTGTACACTGGCAAGCCATTTCTGTGAGTGTGCTGGCAGCCTGAAGCTAAAAAAAAACATTACTGATATCTAGGGACTTCCATCAGATGCCTTCCAACGCTCCTGGTGCGGTGGTCATACTTCAAGACTCTACTTTAAACCCTAAAATAAATATACAAGCAAAAATAACTGTTTGCTTTGCAGTTTTAGAAGCAGCTGCTGTTTCTACTGTAGACTTACTGTCATTAAGTTATTTCCTTGTTTGATATTAGAATAAATAATATTTGTCACAAAAGTCACTATAATTATCATTAGAATTAGTTTGGAGTGTATTTCTTGCAGGTATAGAATCGAAGCTGAAGTTGACTGAGGTGTCAAATTTAATATGTTCCCTCTATATTTACATATCTTCATATGATTGCAAAAAATGCCTAGCGAACAGATGTGTCATTTCTAGTTCTGTCAACCATGTGTAGTCTATATGGTACATTTAGTCAGGAAAAAAAGGGTTTTCCTCATAAGCAAAGAGAGTGAGAGAGGCTGCTTTACATGTAGTGTTAAATGTCAACGGTTGTCATAGAGACACCGCAACCCGCACAGCAGCATGGGGAGTGTTTGCACTGATTGTGGATTGAGAATAATGTGAAACCATTTAGTGAGGCGTTTGCTTTAGGTCAGATGTCTGAGCTTGACTCTCACCTGGTTCAGGTGTGGGAGGCTGATGTGAGGCTCCAGCAGCAGCAGCACCTGAGGATCCAGTTAGGAGATTCTCTGAGGAGGTCGCATTAAGCTGAGATCTGCCCAGCTGGCGAGGAGCTGATGGCGTTGGCTTAGAGAGGGAGGAAGAGCGGGAATGAAGAGCAGGAGAAGTCTGGGGTGAGCCACCGGAGGAGGGAGACGTGGGTGTGGCTGGAGGTGTGGGTAGTGTGAGTTTAGGTGTAAGCGAGTCTGGGGTTGACATGGTGGCCGATGAGCTGAGGGAAGAAGAGCCCGGCCTCGTGGCGGTCGGAAAAGAAGGGCTGAGTTTTGACGGAAAAGGATTGCCAGTAGGTGAAGGTTCCATGGCTGAAAAGACATCAGAAAAAGCAAGAGAGTTTGTTTAAGGATTCACCATTCAAACTTATTTGATAAAGAAAGTTAACATTAGTGGAAAATAACAGAGTGAGAGTGACACAAGTGGACAACACCTGTTGCAAAGATCACTTTCACTTGTCACTGAATCCAAAATCCAGCCACTCCACTCTTACTGTGTAACTAAACTGCAGAGCAGGAGTAATGTTTTCAGAATAACATGCAACTTTCACGAATCTATGGTGTAGAATCTGTTTTATGCTGTAGAGCAGACACTAAAGTGACAGGAATAAATGGTTATAACAGCCTGTCCTTTCTGTTTCGGGCGTGTACTGAACCTTCTTTTTCGTTTGTTAAAAACATGTACACTTATTAAACATTGTTGATTTGCTCTTTTTCGCAGAAGCTTTTGTTATCATCGGTATCAAAGCTGTCATGTGCTCTGCGGTCTATTTTAGAGCTCCGAAGCAGCCGCTGGGAGGGTGACATCCATGAAGCGCGCGGGCTGGGAACGTGTCCTGTTACTGTTAGAAATCCCCCGTTGGACACACGCAGGTGACACCTCATCAGTGGAGTGCACGTGTTAATAATTTACTGGCGATGCCCATTTTTCAAAACGAAAATAACATCGAGTTCAGTATTTACAACAGAGCCGTTCAACAGAGGCACAGTTTAAACATTTAGCCTCAGCAGAGAAACAGTGGCTAATGCTAACGATCATTTCTGTAGTCCGCTCACCTTCACCGTCAACGCTGCTGCTAAGATGAATTCCTCCGAATGAAATACGTATAGGATATATGTGAGGTTATTTATTATACAGCCTCTCGATTCATTCTTCCCTCTGACTTGAGAGAAAGTTGCCAATCCTATACTCTGTTGTCTATGTGGGCAAACTCGAAACAGCCTGCAATCAGCTGCTCCGGTTCATTTCTCCGCCCACCCCTCAGTCCATTGGATAAATAGAATGACTCACTTGTTAAAACGCGATTTCATTGGTTGTAAAGACAGGAAGTTAAAAGAAAAAGCCACAAGTAAAAAATAATCAATAATCGAAAACTTTTTTTAGCAGATAAACTTAATTCCCTGTGCCAGAATAAAATGGAATGTAACATTGCAAAGAAGATCCAAGCAAATGGACAAACCTTAGACGGCTTCCCTCACTTGCTTTGTTTTATGTAATCAATCCTTATTTTCTTCTCATAACAACGTAATAGCCATTTTATACCAAGAGATGGCAGTGTATAACATAACGTTTGGAACTGTTATAATTTAATTCTTATTCTTTAAGTTTTGCAGAAAGTACAGTCATGGGTATGGAAACAAAATTGAGACATTCAATTGGACAATATGCTCGGTTATATGTAGTATTCTATTTTCCATAACAATATTCTTGCTGAAAAAAGTGCATTCAGTTTTTGTTATGTGCTGCATTCATTTTGATAAAAATTTTAAAATAATTTTGTGGGTGAGGTTCAGTGCAAAAGGGCAGAACCATGACATTTTGTTGGCATTTACAAGAATTGGCACACAGTGACAGTCCACACAATAAGATGCTTACGTTGAACAACAATTGAATTCAGTGTTTGTGCAACAATGTATAATCGCATGATCCAAATTCGTCAGTGTAATCTGCATAGAGTACAGAAGACAATTAGTTATTAATTGTGAAAGCGAATTAAATCGCGGCACATCATGCTCGATATTAATGTGAAATGAGAATGTGTTCTGCCGACCAAATGAGTATTTGTCAAAATCAATAGAAATGTGGAATATTTAGAATAACATTCAGAGAAAACTGACATCAGATAGAAAATACAGGAATGAAGAAAAACAATAAAGTTCAGAATATGTTCAGATGAAGATCAGATGTGAAAACAGGAAGTGGAAGAGACAATTAGAGACTATTAAAGACACCAAGACCCTGGGGAAAGGCTGATATTGAAGTTCAAGGCTGGGAACCAGAGTAAAAAACACATTGTGAGATAAAAAAAGGAAATGTGGGCCCTAATTGCCAAAATGCTCCAACGCTGAAGTAGTTATGTAAATGCCTCTAGATTAGTAGATTAACACAATCCACTTCAGGGGATAAGCAGCACACTTTCTCTAGTTTTGGTCTTTTGCATACAGGCCTTCAATCTATATTAAGCAATCAATCTTTTGAATGGGCTTAGACACACATGCACTCCACCATCCCATCTCAACTAAATTAGGCAAAGCAGCTCAAGACAGATATTTCTTACAATGAGCTTGTTATGAGTCCAGATCTTTTGATTATGCAAATCTCTCTGGGGAGTTTGTCAGGCCAGCATTGCCTCTCCTTGAGATGGTCACAATATACACTTAACAAAACCATGGGGTTGTTACTTAAAAAAACAAAACAATCTGATGGGTGTTACTATAGTTTACTTGTCTATTGGTTCTATTCAGTGGTCATTACAAACTGTAGCACAAGTGGTACAACACAACAGAAGAGAGACAGTTTGAGTTAAACACAGGCTTCTCTTTGTCTTTTCTGTGTGTCTATGGAACAGGTCTAAGTATATATGATGCAGGCCCCACCCACGGACTGTGCCAACAATTTCTCTGGATCTGATGAAGAGGAAGTGAGGTGGAGTTAGTAACCATAGCAACCAGCCAGGAGTGTGATAGTGGACAGTGACTCCAGTTAAGATGAGTATTTTCAAAATTGAAGCAACTGACTGTTGAAATATCCCTCTTTGGGGAAATAAACTGTAATACTTGATGAACGGCATCAAGCTCATACTTTCATCAGATTTCAAGTCAATTTTTTATGTTTTTGTTTCACTTGCGTTGATATAAAATCAGCAATATCATTCTGTATGTTTTACAATGAAGACAAACGCCAGTTAACCCATCTTCAGTTAATCATTAAGGCTAAGATTCCAAGAATAGACTTTATTGAAGTTGGCAGACTTTCTCTAAAAAGCATTTGACTTTTTTCATGAACAACTTTTGCATCCAATCACAAAGTTCAGCTAGTGGACAATCACTCTGCTCACTGCCTCCCACTGAAAATAACTTGCACAGTAACTCCTCTTGTCGCCCTTGGTGATTCTTACATGTTTCACAGAGGCCACATAGAGATCTCCATTCATGACTCTGGGTGTAGGCATATAATAATGCCCTCTATTTGCAAAATTCTTGGTCTGTTTGAAGGAACATTTGACTTTGCATTTGCCATTAAACACCTCATAACTAAACCAGTGTAAACCTTTCAAGAAACGTTCAGCTGCCTAAAATAATTTAAAGAGCAATGAAGTCATCTGCTCATACTATGAATGAAGATTTTGGGCCTGGACATGGAACAAGGGGCTCAGACGTTTTAGTGACTAATAGTGGTGACTCATGACCAGAAAGCCTAATTACCTTCATATGAAAATGTTACGTCACTATGAGCGCTTGGGTTTTCTTTGTGTAAAATAGGTCAGGTTGGTGGATGGCAGAAATGAACCAAGAGACGGATGTGATTTTTGTTAGTGCTTGGATATGTGTGTGAGTGTGGTTGAGCCTAATCCTGTAAAGGTAGCAGGTTGGTATGATTTATGCTTAATTGGATTCTTTTGCCTCATTTTAATAATAAGGGCCATTTCCAAAAGCTATAATGGGTTTAATCTGCATACTGTGATTAATACATTAAGCTCATTGTGGACAGGTCTCTTGGAAAAGCTGAAAACAAGATGATTATGTTAAGTTAATAAAAGCCGGGACTCCTTACCTACAGCAATATCTTTAAGTGGACCAAAGAATGATAAGAAATATACAAATGTTTTACTTGCATAACTTCAGATCAGTGTCTTTGTCTTAACTTTTATAAAATGAACTCCTTGACAATCATTAATATTGTTTCTGTAAATACCTTAAATCCAAATTCTTTACAGGTGACAGATCTCGAGGTCAACATGATGTCTATGGGAAAGGTTTCCTTTATTCTATTTCTGTGAACTGCACTCCTGTTGTTTTCTCTGAGGGGCCACACTACAAAAACAGGCTGATAAAATACCGTGTTGCCTAAAAAAATGAGAGAAAAAAAGGCCTCGGGCGAAAACAATTATTGCAAACTCTGAGTCAAGTCTTTACCAAAACTAAACAGGACCCCCATTTCCCTTTCTGTCTGCACCCACACTGTTTTTTCACATTATCTTTGGGTCTGTTTGCTGGCCTCAGCAAGAACATGAGTGGAGTGCTGCATAATACTCAAACCTCACCCCCTTTTTCTTGTCTGCTTTGTCTAATTCTAAGAGGCCTGCATATAAATAGCAACTACGGAAAAAGGAAATAATCCACACCACTGAAACCTATTCTAGACCATGTGCCTAGCCTCTTGCGACCCACGTTGCCCCGCAGCAATGGGCTGCATATGTTGCAGCCACAGAGAGGATTGAGGATATGTTTGTGGCTGCTCATGAACAGCAGACTAGCAGGCGCTGTGTGGAGAGGCAGAGACAGGCAGCTGTGCGTAAGTAATGCCTCCTCCTGGAAACTGGGTCACAATCACACCACTTTAATATTGTCAGATTTCACCTACTTTCACATTTTGGCGAGTCATAACGTCCTAGATCAGAAATGTTGTTGTAAAGGTTTAACATCTGAACATACAGACAGTGGAGAAACTGTAGGGAGCCCCACTCTTAGTATAGTTTGATAATTTTGTAAAGGTGCTATTTATATTCTTTTTATTCTATTCTATTCTATTCTATTCTATTCTATTCTATTCTATTCTATTCTATTCTATTCTATTCTATTCTATTCTATTCTATTCTATTCAAATAAAATAAATATACCAGCAACATAAATCAAGTTATTAATATCACTGAATAAAATGAAGATGTAGCTGAATGGTTAAAAGGAAAATATCTAAAATGACAAACTTGCTGGTGAAATATTAGCTCCACAAGATAGTAGCACTGCAGATATATTGCATGTTATCATGGAAAATCCATCTCCAAAGCATATTGTTCATAGTGTCATCTTTTTAGCCCGGTTTCAGGCTAAAAGGCCAGGTTACACAGAGAAATGATTTGGTACTTTACTGACTCTCCCTATGGTCTTTAATGATTTATAAACCACTTCAAAATACATGTCTTACAGCTGTCCAGTCTCATAAGCAAACCAGCAGGTGAATTCTATATGCCATATCTATGACTAATACATTAAAAAGGGAACATAACATAAAACACGCTACAATTTAGACTTTGAGAAAGTAAAATAAAGTCCACAAAGCATTTCAATGTCAATTCATTTCAGTGACATTATTCAAAATTATCATTGTGATTTTACTTCCACCCAAAATTATACCACTATGAAATACACATGAGCAGGTCCTCTATATTACAATTCCACCAACTGAACAGAAAAGTTGACAACTATAATTTTTCAAGGAGAACAATAAGCTTTTTTTTTTTAGGAAGAAAACATTGTTTTGGATATCCCACAGGAAATGAGATGCTGTGGAGTGAACTATTAACTACTGTTAACATTTTTTTTCTGTGGTACTGTTAAATGTGGGACCACGACTTTAAGGCGTGCAGGAAGGATCATGTCTGATCCTTCTCACCCTGGTCACAAACTCTTTCAAACTCTCCCCTCTGGCAGAAGGTTGAGGACCATCAGGACCAAAACCTCACGCCATAAAGACAGTTTTTATCCAACAGCAACTGGCCTCATCAACAAGACCAGCGACCCCCACCTATTCTTCTCCCCCCCCCCCTCTACCTCACTAATTTACCCAATGCTCCAGCATTTTCTGGTCTGTCGTTGCAAATCAACATTGCACATTTCAATTGTTAATTTGCACATTCAAATCTATATTTTTAAAGATTGTTCATTTGTACATTCAGATTTATACTTTTAAAGATTGTATTTTTCAGTTTTATCATTCTGCCCTATATTTTTATTTCTACTTTTTATTCTTGCTTCTCATAAAAGTGTTGTGTTGTGCACTAAACACCAAGGCAAATTCCTTGTAAGTCTGAAAACCTACTTGGCAATAAACCTGATTCTGATTCTGATTCTGATGTTCAGTTAAATTACAGGCAATACATTGTTCCAGTAACAAGGAAGGGATCAGATTAAAATCCAAAATCTTTAGTGCAGTGGTGTAACCACTGCTGCCTCTGAGCCATCTGTGTTACCACCCTGTGTATTGACATTACAGTGGGTCACTTGCTGGTTAGTGGGGGTCACTGATGATACATTCCACTGCTTTGTCAACTGTATTTCCATTTTACACCTTACAGCTCAGTCCATAAGCTCTTTGGGGTGGATTTCATGCTCAGAAATAATATTGATAAGACAGTATCTGGTGAAAAATGAGCAGGACATTTGAGGTTTTTTTCTGAATTGAATGAAAACGCATATTTAACGATTCATATTGTTATTATTCATTATTAATAATATTTCCAAGCATAATGTGACTTGACAGGGAAAACAGATTCAGTGGAACGGTTTTAAGTTTTAAATATTTACATTTGTGGTGCAGTCAAGCTGTGTAAAGCTGAGTAATTTGGGGACCTGACAGATTTTCAAAGGGCACTTCTGGAATGATGCGCGCGTGCTGAGGTGCACGCGGACGTACGTCTCGTCCCTCACCGGCTGCGTGTCCACGCAGTAAGCGCGCGCGGTGTCATCCTTGTACACGCAGTCAGGTGTCGCACTTCTATCACGCTACTGGCTACGCCTTCCCGGCTTCTTTTTCCCACGTTTACGTCGCCTCGGTCACAGACGGCTTTATTTATTAATTTTTTACTCCTGTGGTTAAAATGTATGGGGACGAATGACGTAGCGCGAGCTGTGTGTGTGTACGTGTGTGTGCGCGCGCGCGTGTGGGCGTGGAGGAAAATAACGTGCGGCGCGCGAGGGGGAGGAGAAGGCTGGAGCTGGATGTGTGTAGCCGGGGGAGAACGTTAACAGCGGCGGAAATGCAGCTCCCGCCGTCATATTAGCTCCTACGAGAGCCGGGAAACTGCGGGGGGAACGAAGCTGTGAATGTGCGGAAGGAGGCAACCGAGCTCCGCGCCCCTGAAGTGCAGTTAGGGAGTTAATTCACAGCTCCACGCCGAAGCCCAACCTCCCTTCCTGGATGCGAAGCGTCGTCTCAACATCATCGAGCCACTTGTGACCAGCGGTCTGGCTCTCCATTTCAGGTAAGTTTTGTTGCATTCTGTGAGGCAACACAACTTCTATGAAGGAAAACAGGCTGCCACTCGTTTCTGATATCTGTTTTCTTTTAGCCAGTGTTTCAGTCACGGACACACACGGGGGGTTTGAATCGTTTCTTGGTGTCGGTGTCTGGAGTTTTGGCTCGTCACAATGACTGCTAAAAGGGGGCAAAAAAGGACTCCCTCATTGATGTGCATAATGTGTCTGAACCACTCCACCACGTTTGACACGGCTCGCCCATCCAGCCCGCTAGCTAAAAGGAAGCGTGGGGCGTGATGATAATGTTTGTCCCCCTCAGAGATAAACTGTTTAATGCGAGGGGTTTCTTCCCCTGGCCATAACCTCGGTGCTCGGTGTAAAAACACGTATGTCTAGCACTCAAACGTCAACCGGGACATGGAAGGCGAGGACACGGCAGTCCTCTGTGGCTGGAGGATGCTGCAGCAGTAGCAGCCCCCCGCATGTCGCCGCGGGGTGTGGTTGGCAAGCCGGACAAACAGTCTGTCAGCAGTGTAAACGCGCTCCCTCCAGGTGCACCCTGCCCTTTAATCTCCCGTTTGACAGCCCATCACAGGGACTGACCGTATCGCATTAGGCCAACGTCTCCCAGCACATCCCTTTAGCCCCCCCCCTGTCCCCCCTGCATGTGGTCCGTCGGTCCGCCGTCCTCACGGGCAGGGACGCTGTCATAACAGCCCTGCTGTTTTATCAGACGTGCTCCGCAGGCTCGTCCATCCGCCCCAGAGGACAGACAACATGTGTTGCAGACTCAGTTATGTTGATCAAAGACTGGGGGGATTGTATGTGCTGGTTGTCAGCCAAGCCAAACAATTCGAGGGACTCAGGAAACAAAAAAAAACTAACATAATGATATGCTTACTGCCTGTTTTTGGTTATTTTAGATGCAGCAGTCAGGAGTGGCAACAGAAACGTGAATCATAGTACCCCCGCTTTTCATCTCACCCGGCCTACACCTTTCGCTTCATTCAAAATCCAGTCTCAATCTCATTCTATCGTCTGAGTGACAAATTTCTACCAGAATAATCCAGTGGACTGTTACCCCCCTGTGTACATGGCACTCCCTTTGCCTCACCAAGGTACCTACTTTCTAACCCATGCAACCAAATGTCCAACGTTGCTATCACTGACCTGCCATGGCTTTCTGAGGGGTTGGGACAGGTACTTCTAACGCACACTCGGAGGCACCCATGCATGCAAAAGCATACACAGCACAACTTTAGACGCCACTTTCTCTCAGACTAAGAACACACAATGCCTCCAGCAGTGAATGGAAGGAATGACACGTTAATTGGTACTCAGAGGCTGAGCAATAAAACTTGCAATACCGTGCAAGTGTAAGAGGAACTTGTTTTTATTTGTTTGGGTCGACTTGTCATTTGGGCCAGTTCCTACTGGAGAGGGACGTCTGGAGTGTGGCCAGTCCTGTTCTGGCAATCTGCTGATGTGACTGCAGTGTAAAAGTATGTCTGTGTGTGTGTGAGAGAGAAAGAGATAGATAGCCAATGCAACACAATTGCAGTCTAAACAGGAGTGTGTAATGCTAATCAGTCCGTGAACATTATTGAGAGGTCTTTGAGCTCATATTGGCTCGGGCTTTTATTGGGCTCCTTATGTTGCGCTGATGTTTGGTTAATGTTTGACACACTGACAGTGTGTGTGGTCCGTCTGACTTTAAAGTAATCCAGCTGTCAGTTTGTCAGAAGCTTGTGGCCTTTATAAAAACATCAATCGGCTCAACATGTTCAAGCATTTTGTTTTGCTGAGGTAAAGTTAATAGTATGGTGTTAGAATCCATGTCTACATACTTACATTACATGGTATAGGTTTTAGGCACAGCATGTTTTTTATAGTTCTACACACCAGATTATTTTAGATAACTGGTGACCATTGTGTGCACAATGAGCTTGTAAAAAAGGTTTTATTTCTTATTGTTAGTATCTCTAGTCAGTTACACATCCCTTGGTGTACATAGTTTGTCATATAGCCTTATAACCTTTGAGTAGAGATTTATTGCACAAAGTGCAGAAGGAATAAATAAAACATACTTACTTTTACTTGCGAAGGAAAATGAATCCAGTTTCTTAGAGGAAACTGGGTGACCTGACTTTTCATACCAAGACACTGGTTAAAAAAGAAACCATAGTACCAGTACATTTTAACAATGCAATTTAAAGTAACATGTTAAATGAACAAGTTCGGCCTTTTTTTGTGTAAATTTTGTTTTGTGCGATGGATCAGAGAAGAAAAACTAATGAAAGATGCAGAGAAATGATTACAGGAATTTCCTCCCTCTGCTCTGTTAGAATAAATCATTGCAACCCTGATAAGAGTATTGAACTAATTACATTAATCATGAGGATGGTGAAAGGCTTCATTCTTTACATAATCAACAGTTTACAGTTGTGGGAGTTTTAAGAAAATCACACGTGGCTGCATGCTTGTAGGACAAAACTGGTTACTGCTACGAAATACACACTGCAACACCCAGTATCGACAGCCAGCAACTTCCTCTGTGTTTGTCACACCTTATTCACTCTGATCTGGAGCTATTTTGCAACATTAGGTTACAAGCTCAGGCTTTGGTTCTGGCATGCATCAACCTCCCATCTAATGCCTATTGATGCAATTTGATACATTGCATGTCAATGTTAGCTTGTATTTCTCAATGAGCAGCTCTCTTACTTCCTCTCAGAATTACTTGATCTGTTCTTCATTTTAAAAAAAGTTGGTGCAGAAACAGACATGATTGATTTAATGAGTTATAGTAATGATTTATTAACTGAAGAACGTGCGATTGCGTTGGTTATTTATGGATAACAGGAGGACTGACAAATGGGCTGTGAGTTAAGTGTATTTAAAGGCTTTTGTTTCCCTTTCCCTGAGGTTTTCCAAAAGAGCTAAACGCCTTATTAAATGTGTATACTCGCACTGGATGGAGTAATGTTAGGTCTTTGACCTGTGCTGGTTTTTGTTTGCTGCTGTGAGCATTAAAGCTGCTTGTTAGCTTCACAGCACCCCTATAAAATGCTCCAGTCTTCCGTATAACATTCCTGGTTTTCAATGAACTGTTACTTTTGAGATTTAGCGGCTGGTTGCCATCTTGGGAACACGTGGCTCCAGAAAGGTTTGTGGGAACTCAGGGCATAGCACGTCTTTGTGCCTGTGCACACGTTTTATGCCACTACCAGTGTACCATTTACTGGTATCGGAGACACATTTCTCTGAAGTGGCACCAGGTCACATCCCAGCGATGAAACTTATATTGGGCTGTCTACAGGGAACCTCATACAAATAAAATTGTTGTTGAAATGATTGACATGCATCAGAACATCCAAGAAGAATGCTCTGTCCAGATGTCAGAGGTAAAAGCACCCAAGCGTTCTTACCTTAAAAAGAAGCCATGAAATCATCAGTCACGCCCCTCAGCCACTCCAGCCTGGGCGCCTTTCTTCCATAACCACACAGACGAGCATAAACATTGTGAAAATGGCAGCAGTTCTGCAGGTGTGCACGAGACATTCAGATGTTCTGCCACACACGCTCACAAATACAGTCTGACGTACTAAAAATAAAAGCATGTTTGTTTCTAATGTGAATAAGTGATGAGAGCTCTTGGTTCTCGTGGGAATCTGTGTCAGCTTTGTCTGCTGCCTAGCTTAAGGCTCAGAGAATGAGTGTTTTGTCAGTGTGAATGATTTCTCTTTCTGCCTCTGCGAGTGAGATCTATAACATCAGTGTGCCAGCGGAGAGATGCAGCGGGGTGAGGGTATGAGAGGAGGGAAGGGGAGATGGTTTGGGTCTGCTTTTTCTCTTTTACTGTGCTCGTGTTCCTTCCTCGGCATGCTTCTCCTCCTCTCCTCCTTTCTCTCCTGCATTTTCCCCCCTGGTTTCCATGTTGTATATGCTGTGCGGAAATGTAAGTACAGAAGGCTTTCTGACTCAGCTGCCTCTCAACCGCAGTCTGGTTAAAGATGGGTCTAATGTCATGTGAGTTTTTCTGTTTGCGAACATGTGTGTTGTCATATTTTTCCTTCCCGTCATCCTTTGCAATGGGAAGACGAGAGTTTTCGAGCAAAAGGGTTGCCTTGGTAACAATTTCTACCATCTGCGTATGTAGTATGGATATTTGGCAGTGTGCAGGCGAATCTGGAGGAGTCTGTGGTCTTAATGGTTCAGCTCCCTAATCATTGCATTATTTATTTAACGTCAGCAGAAAGACTGGAAGGTACTGGGTTACAATTCGCTCCAAGAACAGATTAGAGGGGTCCGGTTTCAGCTCCATGAATGGGTTTCATGCTAACAATACATATGCAAGAAAATGTGAAATGGTAATGTCTGCCATCAGCCAGAGAAAACAAAACAGAAAAGAAAACTGCCAGTGGAAAAAAAAAAACGGAGTTGAGACACCAACTAGTCATTAATTAAAATCCCTCTATAATTAAATTGATTTGTGTGATTCAATTAAGATTTTAAAGATAATCCAAAGGCAAAAATAGTCAATTTCTTTGATAATTCAGTTTCTCCTTCACCCCCAAATACCAAACCATCCTCTTTGTCCTCCAAAATGTTTTCATAATTCACCTTACTAAAAAAACATAGCAAAGATCAGTCCTCCAACTAAACTCTATTTGTTAAGAAGGAGATGAGTGGAGACAAATCTAGCAAATGGATGTCTTTTGCCTGAATTTCCCTTGAAGGTTTTCAAGATGAAATCAGTTAATATATTTCTTCTGCACAATTTTGGGTGACACTTATTTTAATGCTAAACACAAGGAATATGAAAGCAGGGTTAGTACAGAAGTTGAGTGACTATGGTTCCAGGCTAAAAGGTCAATGATCTCATATACTGTGTATGATAGATACTTATGCTTGTAATTTAAGATAGAGTTGTTATGCTACCTTGTGTTGTGGCAACAAAAAACGAGACCCTGCCAGCAGAGCAACTCATTTTGGTCAATGTTATCCTTTTGGGAAATTTTTCATTCTTGTAGTTTCGTCATGAATGGCTCACATTTTCTGTTTGAATACATTTCTAAAAAAGCACAATATGTTCAGTTGAATTTTTTCCTATTTGAGAAATAGTCTGTCCTTCTGATGCAATCAGTGCTTTTATGCCCATTGCAGTGTCAATGCAGTATGTTATGCAGTCCTTGAACACACAAACAAAAAGAACGCATTGGAAAAGATAGATGCCAACGAGATGCCATAGTTTATTTTGAAACAAGGGCAGAATATTAGATTTCTCAACACAGGAATGTCAAAACTTGTCAAAATGAAGGATGTATGTGTCTACCAAAAGGAAAAGTGAGAAAAAAAGAAAGGCCTAGTGAGATTTTACTGACAAGGGCTGAAACTGTGGCGGTCAGACACCTTTTCATGCACAGTGGAGCTTCTAAGTGCAGCTCAGGGAGTGGAATAAAATGATGATAAATGATGGTTGTATTCACAAAGGGGCAAAAAGCAAGAGAGGAGATGTAAACTGTGGTCTGAAAATAATCTGCTTTCCCAGAATGTGGCGGGACTCCAGAGTTGGACTCAAAGTCTTATGCAGATTAGTTTGTGTAACCCACTCCATAAGGCTGTAACACCCTTTTCCCTAATATTTCTTACCGTTTGTCTGTCTCTCTCCAACAGAAAGACTACAAACTTTAGCCATGATGTAGATGATGTTGGCAGCATGGTGATGTCAGGCCTTGCAGGGAGGAGGAGCAGCGACTGATTCTTCTCCTCCATTTGACCACATCCTGCACTCCATGACCGTCCTGACAGGACAACAGCAGTGCTATGTCATCAACCACCCCCCCATCGGCTCAACCCCTTAAGAAGGGAAGGAAGCTGGAGAAATCAGAAGTGATGGCTGATTCGGCCCAGGCCACCAATGAGGAGCTGCGGAGCAAGCTAATGGACGTTCAAATCGAGCTGCAGCAGGAGCGTGGCAAGGTGAGGAGGAAGTTACATTATAACCACAACAGGAGTAACATGGAGACATGGAGTCTTCACTCTGATCTATTTGGAGCTCTGAAATAGTGGTTCTTCACAGTTTTACTATATTTTCACTTTTACCGTACGTCTATTGCAACACCTCTTCAACACTGCAGATTTTCATTCAGCTGTTATGGCAGATTGATCAGATGAAACCATTCTTCCCTACAGTTAAATAATTTATTAAATGTAATAAGAACCTCTTCCAAATATCTCTCCGCTAAACGTTATATTTTAACAAGCGAGTTATCAGTAATGAACCCCATTCGACTTGGAGTTACTTCATCATCCACCCAAAACTGATCCAGATGAAAAGCGTTCCAAAAAGAATTCCAGCCTGGCTGCGCCAGTGAACCCCGATTTCTTTGTAGAAACCTACCATTTTAAAGAACACTGCTAATACTGAAAGACTGTAGAGAAACTCTGATAATGCTTGTGACCCAGCCACAATGTGGACCGGTGTGCTTTATCCAGCCTGACATAATATCATTATATTAGATGGTAACTAAAAAATTACAGATATAAAAAGCTGTTAATATTCAGATTAAATAAACTTTTTTTTCAAAGATAGTCTGCTTCTCCCTGCTGGAGAATGAGCTGCTGAAACCTAAAGCTTCTACTCTCAGAGGAGCTGTCCCTGCACAACTCACAGTCCTTTTAAGCAGTTGGACACTAATGTGGAGATGTGAACTATATATCGGTGCTCACTCATAATCTTTTTTCCTTCCCGTCTTGTCTTGTCTCTGTTTTAGCTCTGTAAGCTCCGTGAGCGTCTCCAGGAGCAGCGACAGGCTCGGGAGCTTGAGCAACACAAACATGCAGTGGCCATTACTGACCTACGGGCCAAACTCCATGAAGAAAAGGTGCGTGAGGCTGCAGCTGCACGCGAGTCACTGGCACGGCAGCATGAAGCAGAGTTGGCTCGGACCATCAAGATCCGGGACGCTGAGGTGCAGAGACTCCAGGGCCTTGTAAACGCACTGCGCGATGGAGCAGCAGACAAACTCAAAAACGCTCTTCTTGGAGAGGCTCGGGAGGAGGCCAGGAGAGCCTTTGATGGGGAAAGACTCAAGCTACAGCAAGAAGTAGGTTTAACAGTACAGAGTGATACACTGAAAACTGTGGAAAATGTTGCAGCCATGATTTAAGATCACATGCCTTAAAATGGTGTTTAAGAACTGGATGCTTTCTGAGGTATTTGGGGGTTGCTGTGATGAATTATAACAAAATAAACGTGTGGGTTGGGGTTAATACATTTGTGTTTTGCTGGTTAGATTCACACTGGACCGCATATACCTTTTGTAAACCTTTACTGTTGCAAAAACAGGAAGCAGGGTGGAAAAGCCTGTTGCCAAGCTATTGTTCCACTCCAGCCACCCTGGACAAACAGGGCATCTAACATTACAGGAGTTTAATGGGATGACATTTGCTAATAAATTCACAAGTCTTTGTCCTTTTGTTTTTGGCTGTATTAATATTATCGTGTGTTTGTGTGCGGGGGATTGTTTAAGATCCAGGAGCAGAAAATGGGCCGAAAGCAGGCCGAGGAAGCACTGGCAAATGCTCTTCAAGCTGATAAAGCCAAAGCAGCCGATCTCCGCACAGCTTACCAACAGCACCAGGATGAGGTGCATCGCATTAAGAGGGACTGTGAGAAAGACATTCGTCGACTGGTAAGCTTTCATTAAGCTGGGATGTCACATACTATGGACACTGCACATCATCTCTTACCAAGTGCTTCGTTAATGGTTTAAACAGCCATCTATTAGCTTTACATGCTTTGCAGAGGGTTGGAGCTCATCCCATCTTACAACACGGGGTATCATCAATCTTTCATCTTAAAAGTTTACTAAAGTCTGAATTGAGCACTTTTTTTCTGTATGATTCCATAGCTATGAAGCTGAATGAAAAATACATATTTTGGATGATAGAAATGCGATGCAACTTACAACATGTCTGGTTATGTACATTGAGGATAAAGTTGTTATAGGTCAAAATAGATACCCTTAAATGAAAGTCTGACAGTGATCAGTGAACCATATAACCATATATAATGGTTTCTGTGGTAGGTTAGCTCGTCTAATCCGACAGCTGTTACTTTTATAGTCCAGAGATGTCCTCGCCACATTTGAATATCACCAGAGTTATTGCTCTCTACATCTGTTTGCCAGCTTCAGAAGTTCAGCTGTAGCTCAGCGCTTATCTCAGTGATGATAGAGGAAGGTGGTAGGCTAATTGTTACGGTGTATGTTGGGAGTTTATCTCCACCACGTGGTGCTTATCAGCAGAACAAAAATCCTCCATACCTTTGTACAGTTCCTCAAATAACCCTTTCACACACAGCAGGGCTGTAACTGCAGGCATCACGGCTGGTAAAGGAATGCTGGCGTGAGGAAGCTAAAAGAATAAAGCGTTGTTGACAGATGAAGAGCAGGCAACAGGAAATGCCGGTGTTAAAGAACAAATGAATCACAGCGGAGCACAGTGCTTTCATCTTAGCTTCAGTCTCTTAGTCATTGGAACATACACCACATGAAACCCTCTAAAATGAAAGTTACATAAATGAACATTGTACTTATCTTGTACAAAAATATCTGAAAGCTTTATTATCATTTGTGCTGATTTTTTCTTAAGTATATAGATTGAATCTCTCAGAAATCTCTGTTTCTGTCCACCCCTCTTGTAGATGGATGAGTTGAAGGCAAAGGACCGGGTGGTGTGTGCTCTTGAGAGGGAGCTGGGGGCGCAGGCAGGGTATGCCCAGAAGCTCCAGCTCCAGAAGGACGCCCTGGATGAGCAGCTGGGTCACGTACGAGAGGCTGAGAGACACAACCACGGCAGCCCCAAGAGAGAAGTGGTGTCTGGACTGGGGGAGAATCCCGAACTGCTGAACAACCAGGTATACACAGACGCCTACGGAGCATTTCTATAAGTGCATCAGTACATTTTGAAGTAACACCTGTATAACAGACTACAGCAGCCATGTTGGCCTGTCCTCTGATATCAATGGGCAAAGACAGGTAGTGGAATATATTAGTTTCTGACATTGTTAAAAGTTTTAAACTAGGCAATAGTTGCATGGTTCTCCTAATTTTGCAGCTCTAAAAATAATTTCCCGGCCCACAAAACTACTATTTTAAGGATACCTAACATGTCTACAGTTTTCTTACCTAAGCATGTGGATAAACTCCCTTTATATCTGAAACATTATTTACTGTGTGAGTGGTGTACTTCCACACATGTTTTCCGTCCTGACGCCTCCTCTTTTCATCTCCATTACCTACCTACCTGCATGTTGTCCTTTTTCAGTTTTTGTTTTCCTCCTCTTCTCCTCTCCCCCCTGCTCAACAGGAAGCAGAGGAACGTGACCAGAGGAGGTTCCAGCTAAAAATCGCCGAGCTCCACTCAGTCATTAGAAAACTGGAGGACAGAAATGCACTGCTGGCGGACGAGAGGAACGAACTAGTGAGGAGCAGATTTTTACTTGGATTATTTATACACTTGCTGTATGTAATTACACTGATAGGTTGATTGAAAGGAAGAAAAAAAATCATTTTAAAAACATGAAAGCCTAACTGTGTATGAAAGAATCATCTGAACTTTTTGCCATTGTCTTACTTCTCTTGCATGAACTGGAAAGTCTGAGGTCAAGAAGTAAGATAAGTGTTTCCCTTCTTTTCTTCCTTCCTCTTTACAGCTGAAGCGGGTAAGAGAAGCAGAGAGCCAGATGAAGCCCGTGTTTGAGAAGAATAAGCGTCTGTCCAAGAAAAATGATGATCTATTGCAAACGTTACAACGCATGGAGGAAAAACTGAAGAACCTGAGCCGTGAGAACGCAGAGATGGTGAGACAAACCCACTTTACTCTCTGAAATGTTACATTTTCTAAAATCTTTCTCTGCCAAGATCAGTCAAAAGTTTAATTCTAACTAGTTTGTTGTAAATATTTTAGTTTATTCAACAATGGTTTTGTTGTGAAAAAATGACCTCTGGTGGCCATTTGGGAAAAAGCATGGGACATCATTCTGTGTCGGTTTTCCCCATCAGAAAGAAAAGGCTTCCTCTTCTCGGCCACCATCACAACAGCAAACAACACAGCCCCAGTTGAAGCGACCGAGTTCTCTGACGGACCTTAGTCACGCCCACGAGGAACAGGAAGTGGAGTTCCTCAAGCTGCAGGTTGCTGAGCAACGCGGCATCATTGATGAGCTCACACAGGTGAGGATCTTATTTAAAACACCAAAGACATATGTAGAGAATTGTCTATCTTTATGTTCAGATACTGAGATTTCTAATACTGAGGATGGAATAAGTAAAAATGTGCATTAAATCCACATGATTTATATCTGTCACACTTTCACTGAATTCATCCAATTGAACATCCAAAGTTATGATCCATACTACTCCTATTACAATAGTGTTGCATCAAAACTATCTCTAAGTCCCAATGGTTCTCTTTATTATTCCCCTGTTTCAGGAGAACTAATATACTTTCAAAGTATACTTTGTTATACTTTGTTAAACAGAGAATGCCTCTCATTACTCATTTGAGACATTTCTCTCAAACCCAAATTTCCCATCCCCTAACAACCACACACACATTGTAAGCTGCTAATTTTTATTAAACCTTCGTTGAACTTATACACCTGAGAGACTTGGGGATAAAATAGAATAGACCCAGAAATGCTGCGTGGAGTCTAATGGTCTATTGAAAGGTAACTGGTTCAGTTCAGATGTGTTTTTTTTAACTAAAATTTTGACACTGTGTTTTTACAGGAACGAGATCGATTGGCGATGAGCAAGAAAAACCGGAGGAAACCTGCCAAATTGCCAAAAGTAAGTGCTTCTGGGTGTTTCAGCACATCTGTTAATCCATCAGTGTGTAACTGAGCAACTACCCTGTCTGTGGTTGAAGGATCCTTGATAATTGTCTTCCACTAGTTGCCTTTGTGTGCATGTATTTAATTGGACCCCAAGGACAGTGATGGCAGTATGCATGAACAATTCCCTTAGAGAATTCAAATTTTATGATGTGAGTATTTTCCCATTGTTGATTTGTTGTCTGTGTATTTTGTGTTTTGGTAGGAGTTTAACTACAGATTTCCCAAAGCCACCTCATGTCGTAATAAACCTGTACACATATGTGTGTGTGGTAATAAGAAGTTCTAATAGACTATGACTGTTAATTGGCTGAGGCGACAGTGTTTGGAAAAAATAATTGCTGTGATGCGTGTTCTCATTTCAATGGGCATGTTTGGGCTTATGTATCAAGGGACATTTTAGCATGTGATGTTGCTATGGGGAGGAGTTTGTCATTACATTGCATATATTTTCTACCAGTGTGATCCTGGATCCAGTTATTTAAGCCTGGACAGATGATAGGATGCAGTCGCTCAGCTTTTTGGACCTGCTCAAGGAAATTTATCTTTTCATGGGAATATGAGGCAGAATACGTGAAGAGGGAGACGAGATCCAGCAACTGTCCTTTTGCACTTTAACAGTTGTAGTTTCATTGTAACCAGAAGCTTCATTGTCTTTTTTTCGTTTTATTTGGAAGACAAGAAAGGACAGTTAATCTTTTGGATAGAAGGGAAAGCCTGTATTACTCTACACTGTAGTTCAGCCGTTACCTAAGAAATGAAGAACGGTTTCTAGGTCTTGTTCAATCGAGCTGTTTTTGTTGTAAAAGATGACTGAGTATATCCTTCTCATCCTGTATTTCTCCTCCTTCATTTGCCTGTGTGCCCTGGTCTGCCTTTATTTTTCTGGTTGCCAGGAGATGACTTATAAACACGATGGTAAGGATTTGGTAAAGTTGATAGCTAGAAAATCACATGCAGTAATCTGATTTTAAGGTAAAATTCATGACAGAAGGGCAGCACCTGGTTTGGACCAGATTTTTACCAATATGTTGATTGTTTGTGCTCCAAAGAACATCCTGTATTAGAGTTTTATTTGCACTCAGGGGTTTATTTGTCTTCACCTTTTCTCCGCAGAGGCATGTTGTGGAGACATATTTTGGATTTGATGAGGAGTCGATAGACTCTGAGACCTCGTCTTTGACCTCATATAACACTGACTTAACAGACCGAACGCCTGCCACTCCCGAAGAAGATTTGGAAGAGGTAGGAAAAATGCACTTTAATCTACTGCTGAAAACAGGCAGGATCATTCATGAGAAGACTGATGGAAAAGAAACAGACGTTGTGACTAACATGTCTCTTTGTGAAAAACAGAATGTTTCCCGCGAGGAGTCCGAGCTTCGTTTCCGTCAGCTCACCAGAGAGTACCAGGCTCTTCAGCGGGCCTACGCACTCCTCCAGGAGCAGACCGGGGGCTCTCTGGATGCTGAGAGGGAGGCCAGGGTAAATGTCTAGCCCCTTTACCAGAAAAACTAAACTTACCTTGGTGTAATGGATGCACGATACTTATCGGTCGTTTTCTTCCATCTAATCCTCTGTTTTTTGGGCGTGGCATTTCTTTACCCTCACACAGAACCGTGAACAACTGCAGATGGAACTCAGCAGCTGCCAGGCCAAGATTGTTGACCTGGAGAAGGCGCTGGCCGAGAGGGGGCAGGTAATAAAGACAGGGGATGGGGACAGGAGCTCTCTGGTCCTGCTGTTAGTGGCCCTCCTGCATGTCTGTGTGGCTGCTCTGCTCCTGGGATGGCGATATGCTGACCAGGTCTACCGCAGAATCCTGTGATGTCACTTCCTGCACGCGTTCTCTCACAGCTCGGTGGCTGCATGCTGTGCTTCACCTTCTGTCTTCACTTTGGGTGGCAGTGTTTCGTGTCAGGACTGTGTGTGCTGCTGACCACAGAGCGAAGGTTTGAACTATGCTGAATCCTGTAAGCTTACAAGGTGTCACTGCATCACTGTTTTTCTGTAAAGATGAAAAGTTACACCCCGAAGTTGATCTTGCCTTACCTAAACACTATCATGGGAGAGAAGAAAAGTATTTTCTCAGTATTTTGTTTAAACTGAATGCACAGAAACAGAACCCCATTTAAATTAGCACATATCGATACTCCTGGTTAGATTTCACTGCATGTTGCATCCGCCACTGTGGCTTGATCCACTTCTGTTTTTCTGATTTGCTTTGCTGCTTTTCTCATGTCAGAGTGCCTTCTGTTCTTCTTGTTACTATGCAGCTGTTTTCTGTGTTATCAAATGAGTGGGTTTTATTCTCCTGGATCAATAAAAGCTACTTTCACCCTCATCCTGTGTTTTGTGTTACATTTGCACATGTCAATTTATTTTATCTGAGTCATTTGTCAGGCATTTGGATATGGTTTGGCAGCCTGTGTCTCTGAGTTCTTTGTTTGTTACATCCCGTTACTAGGGAATCCTTCCCTTCCCTCTGATGGCAGTGTAATTACTTGCTGATGGTGTATTTTGTTGTTATGGCAGGATTCTAAATGGGTGGAGGAGAAGCAATACTTGATCAGGACCAACCAGGAACTGCACGAGAAGGTAGATTGTACAGCATTAAAATCTGCCCTTTTGTAGAGACAAAGGATTACATTGTTGTTGCCCAGAAAAATATTTGGACAATAACAGTTTTGGGGCGTTTGTGTCTGCAGATGTGTGTGTTGCAGCAGGCGGAGTTGCGGCTGCAGGCTGAGGTTCAGGACGCTCGGGACCAGAATGAACTGCTGGAGTTCAGAGTGCTGGAACTGGAAGTAAGAGACTGTAACAACATCAAACTGTCCCCAGGAGGCGACAACAGTCTCAGCTCCAGACGTAAAACTTACATACAGTGACCCACCAGACAGACAGACAGACAGACAGACAGACAGACAGACATAGTCTTAGACAGATGTTTTTACATGGTGTGTCTGTTTCCTGGTTTTGCATGGCAGCTGTGTGCATACCCTTTTACTTAACTGGATTTTTTTTATGTACAAATGTATGAAAATGAATGTAATTTTAAATGCAATAAAAAGTATTTAAGTTCTCCATCCATTTCAAACTTGGTTCATCTTGTCTGTCATTTTTTGCATGCCCCTCTTTGTTTCCGTTTTTCATAAGATAAAAGTTGGAATGAAGTATAGCTCAAAAACTGGTGCACTATCATTTCACTTGTGAGTTTAATGTTTATTTTGAGTCAATTGTCAGCGTAACCTTTTTTTTGTGTTGGAGTTTTGTCTTTATGTGTGACAACTTCCAGATCACACTTTTAGTTTTTGGGTTTTAGCATGTGTCCCTGTTGGTTTGTTTGTCCCTGCGAAATCCTCGGGTTTTCGCCTTCCTCGTTTTGGCAGATCCTGACTCATATTTTCGGTTATCATGTAAGTAAATCCTCATTCCCTCCCATGTCATTTTGTACATATTATTTACATTAAGGATCAGTGATTTTGATCCGCTCACTGCACACCACCTTCAGTTCTGTAACGAATTAGTACATTTCTGTAGGGCTATGGTGGGGATGTTTAGCGTTTACTTGGTGTGTGTTCCTGTAGGAGAGGGAGCGCAGATCTCCTGCCCTCAATCTGCACATGGCTGCATTCCCTGAGAATAGCAGCAGTGCCCTTCAGATCTACTGCCACCAGGAAGGAGTAAAGGTAAAAAACACACCCTTGGAAAACAAGCTTTATGGCTCAAACATGAGCTGTCAATATCTTCAACGGCTTTTTCGTCTGCAGGATGTAATCATTCCTGAGCTGATGAAGAAGCTGGATATTCTAGGGGATAATGGAGTGAGTTGGATTAATAAAACAACTTTTTAAATTCTACTCGTGTCTCATTTTTTCATGGGATTGAAAAAAATGTTGATAATCGAATTTGATAAATATCTTTTAGAATCTCCGCAATGAGGAGCAGGTGGCAGTTATCCAAGCTGGGACAGTGATCTCACTCTGTGAAAAGGTGAACGGGAGACCCCTGGTTGTTCATTGCAACTCCAATTCATCCACTGTGATTCAGTCGTTCTGTTATAGTAAACAGAGAAGGTTTTATTCCCTCCATTTGCTCTTTCTGCCTGTGCAGTGGTTGAAGCAGATAGACAGCACAGAGGCTGCTCTCACCCAGAAGATGATCGACCTGGAAAATGACAAGGTGATGCCCGTTACCTCATTCAGTTTCTCACTTCATTTGCTATTACACCAGTGAAATAGGACTTTAACTTGCATCTTTTTGCAGGAGCTGTTTAGTAAGCAGAAGGGATTCCTCGAGGAGGAGTTGGACTACAGGAAGCAGGCTTTGGATCAGGCCTACCTGGTACGAAGCTTGAGCAATATTTCTACACACTGTGTGGTTATAACCACAGTTCTGTACCTTTTATACATATAATCAAAGTCATTGTTTATGCAGTTAGAGCTGTGTGAATATTGGCTCATAATAAAGTATTCAGGCTACATTGTCACTTTAGCATAACACAAACATTTGAAACTCCCATGAAACATCATTTTTAACATGCTCCATGAAGGTCAAATTTGTCATATTGTGCTGGGATACTGCATCTTTTACCACTGAAGTCGACATAGTGTTAGCAGCACTTTATCTTGGAACAAAAAAAATCTGAATTTTTCTCCCTCTTAAATTCAGAAAAATACAAGAAATATTATGCATTTTTGGTCACAAGAGGAAATTGGAGGGAATTTTCAACATAATAGGTTGAATAATATTTAAATGATAACTGTGTTAGCACATTTAAAGGAAATCCCCTCTGTACTATACTTAACTGGGCCCAGAGAGCGGGAGAAAAGACTTGGAGCACTCTCCTTCTCACTCTTAACTATTTCATTTGGCCAGTTTGGTCTCGGTTGGTGCTTTGAGGTTCCACTTGATTTTTGCTGGGCCCGGTTCGAGTTTTTCAACATGTGGAACATTGTTCACTCTATCTGCCATGATCACAGTGGTGTGTGTGTGTGTGTGTTTGCATTTGTGTATCTGTGCGTGCCCCCCCCTGTGTGTTTGTGCATGCCTGTGTGCGTTACCGCATGTGCATGTGCACGTGCACGCCTGTCCGCCTGTTTTTGTGGACCTGTATGTTGGCTGGCTGTGCAGAGGATCGAGGAGCTGGAGGCCACGCTGTATAGCGCTCTGCAGCAGGAGCAGCCGGCATGCCGGGCGGTGGCCGAGTCGCTGACAGACAGGCAGAGGGAGGAGCTGAGGCTAGCCGTGGACAAGCTGCGGCGTCAGATTCTCCGGCAGAGCCGGCAGTATGACAGTCAAATCTTACAGGAGCGCATGGAGCTCCTACAGCAGGCCCAGCAGGTAAGGCTCAAAGCAAACCCGGTGGGATTTTCGAGTCCTGCCCGTCCTCAGTCTGACCCCTGGTCTGAAACGTCTGACCCCACCACACCTCTGGTGCTATGAAAAAGATGCAGTATCCCTTTGTGTTTTACCCGTAACTATATCTGTTAGTGCAAATGTAGACGTGGAGGAGGGAAAGATGAGATGGAATGACTGTCGGTGTGTGAGTGTGTGTTTCACTGTGCTCCCCCCACTCCTTCAGTATCCGTCCACTCCTGTCCTGTCCGTAGTTTTATACCCATGGTTTGTGCACTTTTTACTCATTGATTACATCAGTGATCACGACACTTTAAACCTCATTCTATTAAATACTGCATTGTCTGACTAACACAACATCTAACCTTAACTTAAAGCACGCTGCCAGCAGAATATGCCAAAACACACTACTTATAGAACATAGCTGCAGATTAGACCAGAAATCCAGGTTTCAGATTTTTCTGTTCATATTTGACAATGAAATAAGTTTGCTAACTTTTTATCCAACACAGGTGCCGTGGACACAGAAAGCATGAAGGGAGGGCATGTGCTTACTTGGAATTGAGAAACAGTGGGGTTTTTATTAACAATTAAAGCTATTCTTTGTAATGAAAGGGAGGATTATTGGAGATTTAGTGTTTTCACTCACATATTTTGATGAGCTAACCATTTCTGTGTTTGTGTTGCAGAGGATTAGAGAGCTGGAGGACAGGATTGACTTGCAAAAGAAACAAATAAAGGAAATAGAGGAAAAGGTACAAACTCCAGTTTTATTCATTTTTCTTATATGCCCTATTTTAAAGCCTTTTTAAGTGTGAAGGATTTGTGGTACTTTATGAGTTTTGTTGTAAATTGTTCTTTTACAAACTTTGACACCCCTCTTTTCTCTCTCTTTTGCCACCTGTTGATCAAACCCCATGTCTTCCTTTAGTTTTTGTTCCTCTTCTTGTTTTTCTCTTTAGCATTTATTCTTTGGCCTTAACGAAAATGTCTGTGGACCTATATCAGGTAGAGTATTTAACTGTTGAATTATCCAAAAATTGAAACACAATCACACACTAAAGGTAACACAATAAGAATGTAATCTAGAAACCTTTTCTTTTTCTTAGGTTTTATGGTGCTGCTGAGGCAACCAAGGATGAAACAAAACTTGTTTTATATGCATTTTTAAACAGTTCACGAAAACCTCATGGCCTTTTTGATAAACATGCACTTTTTCAGAAGAAGCCTACCTGGAATTTAAAGATATTTAAAAATGTAAAAAAGAACTAAATAGATCAGATATTAAAGTTAGTTTTTACTTATAATTAAGTTGTACTTTAGCTGTTTTTTTAAATTATTATTTCTTTCATTTACTTGGGACAAAATAAAACAAACGACTCATTTTTGAGAATCAAACACATGGATTTATTGAAAAAACTAAATCAGAAGATTTTACTAAAGGGGAGGAAAGCCACAGCCTCAGCTGGAGGAATGCTAAATGGAAAAGAAGACATGGCTGGGAGAATGAAACAACAGGGCCAAGTAAGGGGGCGCAAAGGCTGAGTGCCAGCTGGATTTAGAGGATTCTGCCAAAGTCCACCATCTGTGGCGTTTCTAAGGGAACAAACATGCAACAAACCCCACAGATTAGACTCTCAACTTTGGACGGCCTTTTTGTGCGCTGAGCAGGTGAAACTACAATCTAAAATCAAAAGCAGGTTAGTACTAAAGTTCACTTTTGAGGGTTTTCAAGGCTAAGCCTTAAGTATTCACTTTTAGCTCTCAGACAACTAAAGCTGAATGTAATTTTCATTCAGTATAGTAAAGAAATGACCCGATTATCTGTGGTTCAAATAGACTTAGGTTTTGCCTGAACTTGCTCGCATGTTTTTGGTAAGCTTAAGTGAAAGCTTATACCATTTACCCAGCTTTACAGCCTCAGTTTGAGGGCAGATAAAAATGTTAAAACTGTATGTAGGGATTATAAGGCGTTCTGTTTGGTGCAGGGTGGTACAGTAGAAGATTCAGGAGGGGGGTGATTAGGAGGTGGGGTAACTTGAGAGATACCTGTGCCCAACAACTTGCTACCAAGCTGTTGACATACTGAATAATAGATGACTGTATTTAAAGTGCATGCATCTTTTTCTCTTTCTGTTCGTCTTTGCCTGCCATGCAGACGTGAGGATTTGAGGAATCATGTCGCCGTGACAAGTGATCAGAAACTCTTATAGTTTTCCTTTGTTCACCGTTCTGCCCCAGATAAAATCCCTAATCATTGGAAGATCATGTGACCTCAGCAGACACCACTCGTTCCGGAAGCTGTTCAGTAAGCACAGCACATACTACAGGAAACAGCATGGACCCACAGCTCCTGTAGAACAAGGAGGTCCTGGAGCTGAGAGCAGGTGGAGCCATCCAGTTGGAGAGCTACGAGAGGAACAGGTGAGGACCTGGGAGGGAGGGGATCCAGTGACAAACAGGCTACTATACACTCATTTTTTGGTGATATCACGTATCAGACACAACTGACGGCACTTGACTGTTGCATGTGAGCGTGCTGTTTACAGGATCTATTACTAACTCAAGGATCTACAGAATATGATTGAATTTTCATTTAATTTTACTTTTTTTTTATGCAGACCTCGTTGAAGACAATTAAATTAGTTTGTCGTGAATTTTCTTTATTTCGCTGCCATGTCAAGCTCCAACATCTAGAGAAGTCTGAGAGGAGAGCCACGGCTTTTTCAGCTAGCTTCCGCCTCTCAGTTCCCCAGCATGCAACACTCTCAGAGGCTGGACCAGAGGCTCCACGTGCTCAGGGAGGAGGTCAGGACCATGGTGAGTACCCTCTACAGAGAAATACCAGTACCATGATTACAGGAGGAATGACCTGTTTAGTTTACTCATGACAGACAGAAGCTATTAGTGCGTTAGATTAGATGTGTTAGCATCAAAAGTTCTTTAACAAGCAAGTACATATGAAGTGGGGATAATATTTCTCTCTTTTCTTTTGTCTCTTTCTTCACCTCCTATTCAGACTCTGGAGAAGGAGCGAGGGGAGGGGTTATGGAGGGAGCGACTGCAACGTTGTCAGAGGCAACTAATGGCCAAAGAGGAAGAGATGAGCCGTCAGTCCCAATACTTTGAGAACTTCAAAGCCCAACTCCAACACAAGCTCAGCCTGGCACGAGACAGAGAGCAGAGCCTACAGAATCGCATCTACAGTTTAGAAAACCAGCTTCTTGATGTGACAGTTAGTGCTGCCACTGGCATGGCCACAGTCAGAGCAGCAAAAATCACTGCTGGGACTGCGAATCACTTGGTGAAACAAGAGAGGATAACGTCCACGAGAGGAGAGGGTGAAGGAGAAGAGGAGAAGAAGGATGAGAGGAGAAATAGATGGCAGCCAGATTTTGAAAATGAGTGTGAGGAAAGGTGGGAGGAGGACGACAGGAAGGCAGAGCCGGAGACGGAGGGAGGAAGAAACAGAGACACAAAACAGAGCTCAAATGAAGCCAGGCTGCAAGGCTTCATCATCAGCATGAAGGAGGATCTCAGGGTGCTGCTGGAGAGGGAGGAGAATGGGATGACTGAGCGGAGGGGACTGATGGAGCAGCTTCAGGAGGCTCAGGAGAACTGCCACCTTCTAGGCTGCAAAGTGGAGGAGATGAAAGCAGATGTGCATCAACTGAAACTTTCAGAGAGCCTCCTGATGGAGGAGGTTGATGAGCTCAGAGAGGAGAATCAGAGACTCCAAAAGATCTTCAGGGATGCAGCTAACCAAACGCCACCTTCATCAACTACAGACCCAGAGTCCAGACGCATTAGTCCTGGGACCAGCCCAGCTGTTTGCTCAACATCCCCCACCACTCTGTCTCACACCGCTGCCAAGGGACAGTCTGTGAGGATTGCAGGAGAGGTGTGTAAGACATGATTACTGCTATTTTAACCAGTATTTGTTCATTTGGTCTAACAATCCAAATCCAAAAAGGGTCCTAGAAAAAATCCAAACAAAGCTATGTTTTTATTTTCACTGGCATATCTTGAAAACAAATCCTTTGTAACTATCATGGAGTGCAAGGTTGTAGTGGACAAAGGGAAGTGTTTGTGTAATATCAAGAGTTAACAGTTTTGAAGTTCAGTAGTTTTGAATTTGAGCACTCAAGAAGCATTTAAAAGCTGTTAATTCGATCACTTTTGCTCAATTGTACCGTATTTTGAAAACGTTTTGACCCCTTTTCTAATATTGTTGAAAATGAGTTTAAATCAGTTTAAATACATAAGTTGTTTATTGCAGGTCCAGTCCCATACAGATGCGGAACCGATTCTGCCTCATCCACTTGCAGTTTCACCCGTTGACCACCAGAGAGAAGCAGAGTGCTGGCAGGACAACACAGATGACAGCAACTCAGTGGACAAAGCAAAAGATCACCTTGACTCCAAGTGCAACACCAGTTTCCAGCCACTTTCCTTCGTTACAGAGACCTTGAATGAGTTTAAGATGGGGTGCGTCAATGAAAGCCCCAGTGCAGAATCAAATGCCCTGAGAGAAGCTTTCTGGAGTCTGGGATTAGGGGAAGATCTTCAAGCACTTCAAGAGCAACGCGAGCACCTGGAGGCTGCTCTGCAGCATACGCAGGAACAGCTGAGGGCGATGGCTAAGGAGAATGCCCAGCTGAGATCACAGCTCAGGAAAGAGGCAGAGGAGCAACAGACAGAGACAGAGCACTGGTCAACAAAAGAAAAGGTAAGACACAGAGAGTTCAGATGTTTTAAAGCTGTGGAAGGATTGCTCCCTTTCCTGTACATTAAGGACCAAAGTCTACCTCCCTTAACAGATTGCCACACCACCAGACCATGATGTAGATGACCATCCTGCTTCATCTTCTACCCAGGATGACGGCACAGTAGCTCAGAATAATCTTGTCCAAGCCCTGAACCAGGAAAACCGGGCCTTGGCAGAGCGAATCCAAGAGCTGATGTCTCACATGCGGCTCAGAGAGGAGGAAATCAAGGAGGAGCAAAGAAAGCTCCATGACAGTGTTACCAGGCTAAAGGGGGATGGAATCAGGCTGGAGCAGGAGAACCATGAACAAAGCTGCTTGATTTTAGAGCTGACACGGAAGACTGAGGATGATCTAAACACCATCATGGAGCTCCAGCAAAAGTTGGAGGAACTGAGGGGGACTGAAGAGGAATTACAAGGTCAAAAACCTGAAGTACCAGAAATGTTTGTGCAGAAAAACCAAAAAGAATTTGCAGATAGTATAGTTACAAGCGTGCCTCAAGAAGTACAGAACAGTCAGATAGAGGATGTTCTCAGCACAGCTTCATTACCTGGTTGTAATCATAAGTCTGAATCATTACAAGATTACTCACAGAACATCATGACGGTTAGTTCACTTACAGACCAAACATCCCAGCTCACCAGCTCAATTAAGAACCTCCCAGCAGAGCAAGAAGAACTCACTAAGAGCCTAAATTTGCTCAGAGATCAGCTTAGAGATGTTGCTCTCTCAGTCCAAACACAGACAGAGGAAAAGCAGCAGTTAACTCGCACAGTTTGGGCTCTAAAGGAGCAGAAAGATGGTATCTCTCAGTCTCTGGCTGGCCTTAAACAAGAGAAAGAGCAGCTGAGCAGGGCCGTCCATGGGCTGAAAGATGAGAGAGATCAGTTTATAAGGTCCATGAGTGGACTAAAAGAAGAGAAAGAGCAGCTAACTAAATCACTTTCTGGTCTTCAAAGAGATAAAGAGGCAATAATAAAAACTCTCTCAAGTGGAAGTGAAGAGAGAGATCGAATCATGGAGTCACTGCAGGGTCTACAGGCAGAGAGCGACCAGTTAAAGCAGACGGTGCTTCATCTGAAAGAACAGAGAGATAAACTAACAGATTCCCTGAAGTGCCTGACAGAACAGAGAGAACAGGAACAATTAAGTCAAACTTCAAAAGACGACCATGACCGGTTGGAAAAGGCAGTTAGCAGTTTAACAGAAGAAAAAGGAAAAATAGAACATTCAGTGAACAGCTTGAAAGAAGAACAAAAGCAGATCATGCAAATAATCCTGGGCTTAAGAGAAGAAAGAAACAGGCTTCAAGCTCTGCCCATCCAAACCCAAACAGAGGAGAAGAATCTCAAGCAGCCGCTGATTAAGTTACAGGAGGAACTGGACAAGAGTCATGTTGAGGTGAGGCTGCTTATCTTTTACACGTGCATAGCAAACATACTTTATCAACAGTCTCAATAACCTTACTGTGTGCACATGTTCAGATCCAGAGGTTGCACATTGCACTGTCTCAGGCGGAAGTGAAGTGGGAGGAAGCTGAGATGAGGGCAGCCCAAACATCTGAGCAAGTGGAGAGACTGACAGACGCAGCCAATGAAATGGAAGACACCACAATGAAAAATGACAGGCTCGCAACACAGGTGTTCACTATCATTTTCTAAGCCCCGTTCTTGAGAGGTGAAAGAAAATATAAAAAATTTGGAATGGCAAAGGCCTATTTGGTCAGATTGATTGATGATAGTAATGATAAAACAATGACCCTCAGTAAACTTTTTTTTTATCTTGATGTTAGGGTTACAGTATGGTGCAAAGATTCTGTTCAAAGTTAAAACTATTTCCAGAAAAGTTGCAAAGTTTTTCTCAAAATCTGAGATTTTGAGTTTTTTTTTTTCTTGCTGACGATAACAACCTGTGCGGTCTTAATCAGCTTCAACTCCTTTGGCGAATACAGCTTTTCCCCCCCAGATATCTTAATAGTGTTTCCATACAGAGCTGAGTTGAGCGTATTGAGGGTTATATCACATTCCCGGTGCGGTACATTCATGTCATGTTAAAGTGCCTTCAAACTTTATTCACTTTAAAAGCACTTGGCTTCTATAGAAATGTAGAATGGAATAAGATGAACAGTAGTTAGTGGATGGAAAACATTTCCGTGTCTGACTCATGACAAATTCAGCAGAATTCTTGACACATTTCGTTACTTCTTACACAAATGTGCTTCAGGAGTATGAGTTTTTAATATAATCACTTTTCCCCCAGATGAAATTCAGATAAGGTTTCTATGTTCTAATACAATGCTGTGTGTGCTACAGGTGACTGAGCTGCAGATCAAACTGACTGAGCTGATCAGGGAGAAGACACATGCTCTGTCTCTGAAGAAACTAGCAGAGGAGCGATGCGGCATCCTCACTGCTGAGCTCAAAGCAAAAGTAAGAATTACACATGTTTTGGTTTGCTATAAAATGAAATCTTAGTTGACTCTGATGGATCGACATCATTGTTCTCCAGCTATGTGCAGCCGCACTGATGTTGCCTGTGTCTAAAACCCTACAGACAGTTGTTCTTGAGGAGCTGAACTCAGAGTATATAGCTCTGAAAGGAGGAAAGGGCAGCAGGGATGATGGGAGTACCGCTCTGTTCTCACTTAGGACACGCTACAACAACATCAGAGCCAAGGTGGGGAGCTGCTGTACACAGCAGTTGAAGCTTTTTTTTTTTAGCAAATACTTTTTACATTATGTCTTGTAAATGATTTTGTGTTGAATTTGATCGTTTTTTCAGTATGACGTGCTCCTTAGAAGGAAAAACCTGAAAGATCTGGATGTGGCTCCTTTAAAGGTGAGGAAATAGAGAAGTGGCTGTTTCAGTTTCACAGCTGTAAAGAAAAGTCTGTGACTGACCGACACTTTGTCCAATGACAGGCCAAGTTGTCCTGCCTGCTGGTGAAGTGTCAGGAGAGGAACAGCGTGTTAGCTCAGATGATGAGGGCCATGCACAGGCAGGGCTGTGTGGACAGCCAGCTCACACAGCGGGTCGAGGATCTGCTGAGTGATGCTGCTCTGCAGGACTACTCTGCAGCATTCGCACCAGGAGGCAGAGCACAGACCCGACGTCACTGTGAGGGCTTCACACAAGAATTCATCCCAGCATTTCTGGACTACACCAATGGATTCGTAGCTGATCAAACCGGCCCGCTTGCTTTAACCTCTGTGAGCAAAAGACAAAATGCTGTTCCACATGGAACTGGAGACCAGTGGGGCCAAAGTGCGGGGCATACTTCAGTATTTGCCAGTGAAACAATACATCGTCAAGGCTCAAGTGGATTCATGCCTTTAGCAGAAGGAACATCTAAGAAAAACTCACCTGGGCCAACCTTAGCTGAAGATAAGCAAACAGGTGTACCAAAGCCAGCTGGCCTGCAAGTAAAAGGGAGCCTGATTCCCATTATGTCACAGGTGAGATCATAAAAACACCCCAAAAACTGCAACACCCTCTCATGCTAGTTTAAGCACTGCAATGGCTTACAGCGGTTAAGTGTGTTTGATATGAACCAAACTGACTGATGCTACCACATTAATGCAGCTCATTGAAGAGGATGTTTACAAAGTTAAAAAAGGAAGTCCAAAGCTGACAAAACAGCAGTAGTTTTTAGAAGCAGTAGTCTCATTTCTGACATATTTAGGATGAGCCCAAAGACTAATCTGATTTGTCATTGGGCTTGAGCTCTCTCTGTTTGGTAACAAGGCAGCACCACTATGTGCAAACAGAGAACTTCTCTATTCTCTTAATAAAATACTAACTGTACACATGAAAGGCATCTAGGTTGTTGCTGCACAGCTAAAAGTATCTTTAGACGAATATAGACATATCTGTGTCAACTATGGCTACATTACACTGTTTTCAGGGATGCTTTTGGAAGAAATTATGTTTTCTTTTTCCAAATAAAATCAAAAGCTTAAGGGTGACATTGTTAAATCCTGCTTAACAACATGTTTAGAAGCTTCCTATTAAAACCCGTGTTAATGCATGGTAAAAAGAGTCTATGATACTTGATTTAATGTCAATGTTTATGAAAGCCAAATAAAACAAATAACTCAAATCATTTGAGCTTTAAATTCGGAATAAAGCCTTCTTTTTCAATCCCACTACAGCTGTCTCCTGTTAGCAGATCACTCCAAGCAATCAGTCCTCCTCAAAGGTTCCCCTCAGATCCGACCACTCTGAGTGTATCCTCACCGAGTATCATCCCTCCCTCTTCCTCCACACCCGTCAGCCTCAACAGGAGGTTCAGCAGTCCCGAGAAGATTGTCAACCTGCACGAGCAGCTGCAGAAGACTCTGATGAGCAGCTTTCAGGTACAATCAGCTGCTGATGTGCTGCACACAGACACGCGTTGGCATTAGTGTTTGCTCAAAAGCTATGAATGAAGATATAGATATTTCTTATTTCCACTGGAGGTAAATCTTTGTAACCATGTTGTGTATAAGTTAGATTTTGTCTTTCCATTTAGACACCTGGGAGCAGAGGCAGAGGGCAGCAGCCCCGGAGGAGCCTGTCCATTTCAGCCTCCACAGACCTGAGCCCTCCCAAAGCAGAGCTCAACCCCTCATCTTGCAGTGCTCCGCATAGCCCCTCTCTCCCAGTCACCACGGCTTTGAGCCCAGCTCAAGATGTAGTGAAAACTAAGTCTGCCAGCTTTAACACGTCGGGAACACTTTTGAATGCGGTTGCTGTCAGATCTGCTAATGCAGCATTGAGTCCTGTCACGTTCATTTGCCAAGGCCTTAAAGCATCTAAATTGTCTGCTCTTTCTCACTCCTCTAACTATGCTCTCACCACTGTGGCACCCAGCAAAGATGAATCCATTTTAAATGGTGGCTTTAATTTAACAGTATCCCCAAAGCAGCTAAAGAAAGGGACTGTTATCTCTAACGTATCTGATGCTGAACACACAGCTTCAGCCTTTCTAACTTTGACAACGGCTCCTTTTAACCCTCATGTCACTAATCCCAAATCCACTCACCCAAATGTGTCTGCTTCTAGCAAACAAACAGTCTCAAATTCTCAGTTTTTGAACAATGCCTCTAAAACGAATGACCCCTCAAGCGATGGCCGTGCACTCACAACAGCCTGCTCTCAGTCTGCTCACTCCTCTGACGAAAGATCCAACCAGTCAGCCAGGGAAGCCAACGCTGCTCCAGAGAGGTTTTCCAGACCCAAACCAGGTAATGTACCGCATTTCAAGGTTAATCTCTACAGCCACGAGCTAAGCAGTGAGTTAGTAAGTTACATTTTTAGACTTGACTTGATGTAGACTCAAAGGTCCGGTGAAGTTCCCCATTCTAGCCACAAAACTGCGGCGACTTCAAAAAGTCACCAGACGTGTGTTCTAAAAATTCCTTCTTGGTGCCAACAGTAACTTGGCAGAGGGAAAAGCTGAGAAGGTGCAACACTTCATATTTCCACACTGAAGGAAATGCGGAGAAAACGCGTCTTCCATTAAATGCTGAAACATGTTTTTTCTATAAGGCAACAACCCTTGTGTGTCAGTGGATTAGACTCTTAGGAAAATATTAGTTTTTGCTGCCGCTGTGTGATTAAATCACATAAAATACTCCTGTGCCGACTCTCACTGTTTGTTATTTCCCTGTTTACTCCCTTCATAACACACTGTGATAAAACATTATGAAATTCTAATGTGTCTTTTGACTGATTGTCAGGTTTTGAATGTACTTTTGTGGGATCGTTTTGATAATCTTATCATTAAAAAGTAGCTTTTGTCTCCATAAAAGAAAGCCTACTGCATTTCTAATAATAGTACATGTTGTATTAATCCCTGCAGAACCTCCCGCTGAGGTTCGCTCTGTTGAGGTCATAAAAACTGTTGGTCAGAGCAGCCTCCTGATTGGCTGGGAGAGGCCTCCGCTCGATGAGCTGGGCTGCAGTAATGGAACATTTGTGTACGGATATAGGGTAGGCAGAAAAAGACTCAATTACTTTTTTGTTTTTTTATTTTTTTGCTGAACACATTTTTCTCCCCATAGGTGTATGCAGATGGCAACTTCCACAAATCTGTCATGAGCTCAGCATGCACAAAGGTATCAACCCTCCTGTCTGCTTTACAGCCCTATAGCCTGAAATCACTCAGGAGCATAAATATGTTGTGTATCTCTTTTAATATCTCCAGTGTATTTTGGAGAGCGTGGACCTGAGCGTGCCTGTCCACATCAGTGTCCAGACTCTGGGCTCAAATGGTCTCTGCTCCAGCAGCGTCCACACTGTTCACGGGACCTCAAACACAACAGGGCAACGCTGACCCACGCAGGGGTCCAGTCAGAAGGTAAGTTTTCTTTTTCAAGTGAAGTTTTTTTTTTTAGTTGTGTCCGATGCGCTTTCTGTATACGCCTCTGTCAAACTGTGTGTGTGTTCTGCTGATCACTGGTATCACCAATCCATTTATTGCTCATATTAAAGGTGTTGACAACATTGACCTGTTTCATCCATCATCTTCATCTTGTGAGGAAAATCCTGTTTGTCCGACATGTAAGAAGTGTAATGTTACATTTTGCTTCCTGTGTTACAGAAATCTAACACTTCAGATTCTGAGAGAGTGCCGTGTGTATCCTCCTGTCTGTTCGCCCCTCAGTGCACACCCATCTAAATCTGCAGCCCTCCGAGGGAGCGTCTTCACCTCCACCTGAGCTGAGACACACAGTCACACAGCACGGACCCATGTGCCAGATGAGGCTTAGGTCAACTAATCAGGAATACCCCTCTCACACAGTTATTAGCTGCCCGTGCACGTACAGTTGCCTGCAGCCACCAAACCTCGGAACCTCCAAACCACTACCTGAACATGCTGAATGAAATGCTTTGTCAGATCTCTGCCTCTGCACTCAAAGTCGATTTCCAGCTTAAAACAGCCTTTTCCTTGTTGGAAGACATTCCTGTCTCACCTGCAGGACCTCTTGAATGCTTAAATCATGCTAACTCCCAGGTGATCCGTCACCCGTGACGCAACCATTTAGGAAGGCATCTGCTGCACACCTTTTCACTGTGTTAAACAGTCAGACCACCAGTCACGCTGCCTCATCAAAGAGCCGGCAAAGTGAAAAGAGAGAGCCGTTGTGACAGCGACAGTGTGCGATTTCCACGCATGAAACCAAATACGTGAAAGGACGATTAGTTCCAAAGAGTTGTTTGTTTTCCTCTTCTCCTAGCTCGCCGGGATTCCCTTAAACACAGTGGCCAGATTTTAAGTTGTACAATTTGCACACAATCATGATTAATATCTAAATGAAAACAATTTTAAGAGATTATCGCTGGTATTTTTTGAAGAGCCTATTATAAAAATATGCCAATGTACCACACACTGTATGTCTTTTTGTAAGTGACTTTGCTCCCAATAGATGTCACATTTGCACGCACATTGTTTTTTCTTATTTGATTTTATAAATGTTCAGGTCTCACATGATAGATTCCTCTGTTACTCACGGTATGTATGGGTGAGGAGGGATCATGGTGCACTAAAGGTATTTTTCTATCTCTAACTCGTATAATTGATTTACCACTATTTCCCTCTAACTGTGCAGAGAATAAATAAATGTTTATATCATGTTAAATATGTTGGCCCGGTGTTTCTGTGTTCCATCCCACTCCCAGATGGAAAAAGAATGTGGAATAGAAGTTAAATAGAAATATTAGCTAACTAACCCCCCAAAAAAGAAAGGTGCGCAAGGACATTTTATAGTTTTTACATAGCATAATCTCAGAAGTACAAAACCTCTTGTCTTTTCAAATCAAATTAAAATGACTTTTCAATTTGATTGGAAAAAAAACAAAACAGACGCTCTAGTACAGATTTGTTGGAGTGGCTGGTGCCGCTGGGCGCATGAAGACATGCCAAAGATGCCCCAAACATCTTAGTGACTACTCTACATACACCAGCGAAAAGCCGAGCTGAAACAACAAGGAGCATAAGCAGCAAAAAGGAGCTTATTAATCACCTGCTGCGCTCGGCAGCTTTGAGAGCTCCTCTGAGAACATTATTGCTCGTGTTCAGCAGAAATATAGAGCCGGGGGGAGGAGTGTGCGCCGGGGCTACATCTGTGGAAAAGGCTCTGCTCACAGGATAAACTGTTCAGAAAATTAGCTCCAAAAATGTTTGTTTGTGGTAACAGCTACAGCAGATGTAGCGTGTAGAAGTATTTTGATAATTAGCCTCTTTTACTGAGTTATTTAACATTAATGTTGAGCTTATCCGGTCAGTCTTTATGGTTTGGACTAAAAATGATTCACAAAATATTCATTAATATCGTTTGAGTACTTCATCAGTATTTCTGTTTCGATGAATTGTATGTGTGATTGACTGACTTAAACTACAACAAAACTGAGAAAACGAACAGCACAATGTTGAGACTGTTGTGAAATAGTGGACATTAGTTATTCATAAGCAAGAGTCGGAATAGAAAGAACAGAGTTAACGCTAACTGAACTGTTGTTCGATGCACTCAGTTTCCTGCAGAGTGATGAGAAGAGAACGAACCTGGTAGCAAAACTGCTCGACTAAAATTAGCCCCACCACTGCCCATCTCGGACCACTTTGCTACTCTCAGAAAATACAGAAAACCAAATCTCAGTGTGGCTTAATTTTCACCTGAAGCCTCTGAGCACAGACTCGCTGAAGTAGCCCTCACGAACAGGGTTGTATGGCACTTTACCTTCCATCCAACCGGCAACCTTCAGTCTTACTCCATTAGGATTATCATAACCCTAACATCTGGAAATCCAGAGAATACTTTTATTCATTAGTTATTGTGCTTTAATAACTAAATGAAGCAGCTTACTATATTTAATCCATTCCAATAAAGCATGCAAAAGTAGGTTGATTCAGGGACAAAGGCCTCTTGCCTTTGTCCCTGAATCAACCTAAAGAGGCCGAGCTGCACCCACAGTACTCCCCTTACCCTCTAATGAAGGACTCACCTCCATTATTAACACACACACACACACAACACACACAACGCACACTCTCGGTGCAGCTCCCTGAGCTTTAGCTCTTGTTTACATGAATGAATGTCCTCTTTGTTAATTAATCGTCCATGCTGGATGCTAATGATGCCAAGCTCAGTTCTTTTTAAGTCTCTTCCCTTTTCGGGCCAGTGAGGGGAGTCGATGTGATGGAGAAGGATGAGCAAGGGAAGGTAGGAGATAAGTGTGTGTGTGTATGTTTGGGAGTATGAATGACTTGTCACTGGCACATCAATAAATCAAGCCTCAATCAAGCCTTTAGGATATTTTCTGTCAGGGTGCCCAAAGCCAGTTCAGCTTTTCTCTGAGTCCGTGTGTGTGTGTGTGTGAGTGTGTCTGAGAGTGTTTCAGCTCTGTGGGAGATATCTCCGGCTTGCAGGAGGGTTTGTGTCTATAAACTGTTATGCTGACAGACAGTTGCCATCAGCAGGTGGAGGGGAGGGTGGAGAGGGGTTCTGGAAATGGAGCAGTAGATGAGAAAGAGGAGAAGAGGAATTGTGTGCAGAGGTTGTAATTTCACCCAGAGGCCACTCTGTCACTGCCACAGACACCTTGAGCTTCCGGGGGCCTCCATTGGCCTCTGGAGCGGAGGCCCGCTCTAAAAGTGGGTGTTTCCTGCTGCTGCGTCTGAACGGATGGGTCTTCCTGCTGGAAGGTTGATGTGTTTCGCTCGGCTGTCGTGCAGCTGCAGTGTAACTGTGATATTATCCCCGCTGAGCGCGTGTGTCACTGCAGGCCTTTTGAGAGCCCAAACGCGCCCAGATATTGTCACATTATGCAAACGCATTCATATATGCTTTAACTCTCATCACATGAAAATCACTCGCTGGTGAGGGGTAATTGTGTTTGTACGTGTGTGACAGTTTCCATCTCGTCTGCCTTTAGTCATAGCTGTGAAGCCCTTTTCATTCTCGCCGTGGTGGGCCTGTTGTGGCCCTATCAGAGCATCTCCGTGCCTGTTCTATTTAGAGGCAAAGCACTATCAGAGCTTACAGCTGGCCGCATGCGATTCAATTCTGACAGCATTCAAAGCAATTTTCCCTCTTTCTGTCCAGCTTATTTTCCTGCTTGCCTCCCTCCTCTGCCTCTTTTCCTCTCACGTATCTCCCCATCATCATCCCTTTTCTTTTTGCCTCTTGCCTTCAAGCTCAGCTTTTTTCCCCCCGTTTTTTTCCATTGCATTTGCATAATTGTTGCTGGTTCGGGCTTTGTTTTCCACCCGTTTTTTTATTTATTTGTGGAGCTTTCTTAAACAAAGCAGCAAATCAGCACCTTCCTCTGTACTGTTCCCTCTCTTTTCTTTGCTTTATTGCTGCCCGGAGTCACGAAATTCTATCTCTTCCAGCCCCTTTGGTTTCTCCTGTCCACTCATTTCCTCTCTCAATTTTTTTTCTCCCACATTTCCATCTTCCACATAACATATCAGGTACTCTCTTCTGCCTATGAGGCAGAGAAACAAGAGTTTCATCCCATGTTGGAACAAACATCAAACATCAAACATCAAAAATCGAACAGTTTCCAATATGGGAAGAGACAAGCAATTAACCAATATTACATCCTTGAATATGCGTGCAAAGGCACCCCTAATCTCATTAATCATGAACAATGGGGGCGGTAATTGAGAAGCATGTTTATGTAAATTCCTCCAAACAGTAATCTCCTTCGTGCTTAATAGTCAAAACAGTGGTGGTGCTTGATAAGACAATTCTTTCACCTCTTCTCCTCTGTAAATAATTTCAGTTGCTTCCACTTCTTCTCATGCTAGATAGTTATACTTTTTCTCTGCCATTTTAGTTTCTTCATTTCATCTTCTGCTGTGTTCAGGAGACATGAACCAGAACACTCAGAGCCTTTAGAAATGTATTGATCTCTCTTACTGTAGAAACTCTCAGTTTGATGGTTAATAGCCCAGAGATAGTATGGAACATTGAGTTTTACATTCCACCTCCACACAGCTACACCTCCCTCCTCCTCCTCTCTTCTCCTCTTGGCAAATTCCCCATCTCATTTCCCTTCTCCCCCATCAGTTCTCTCTATTTCTTCTGTTTTTATGCCTTCCATTTGCATGTTTATTGTTTCACTGCTTGCCTCTCCCCCTTTTTCTCCTACGGTGTCTGTTTTCATCCATTTCTTCATTTCTCCTCTTCTTTACTTTGCATTTATTGAGCTGTTTCTTTTTTCTTTTTCCAGAGTCATTGTAGCAGTTGGTCCAGGAGCCAAACATCATTCAGGACTAAATTTAGCCCAGAAAAAAACATCATCAGATTATCCCCCTGCATCGTCTTTCTCCTTTCTTCTCTCTCGTGAGATCCTCTTTTAACTATCGTGTCTTCTCTGTTTTAGTCTTCATCTCTCTTGAGTTATGTGCCAGTTCCAGATGATGATTATGGCACCATGTCAAACCAGGAGGTTCAAGGACCTGACAAAGGTCCCAAGCATCAGCCTACAGTCTCATAGTGTCATAATCTGACTCCAGTTACAGTATAGGGATGGATTTGGATCATGGAATGCAAGAATATCTTAAAAATATTAATAACAATGATCATTTAAACTAAAAAATGATGACCAAGCTAACTTATTAAGTAACAGTTCCATGTTATCTCACTCAAAGGGGGATTTTTACTTCGGAATTATTCTATTCATTCAGACAGAGTGCAATAGATTGGAGTAAATGAATCACATCCATCAGTATTCCTTCACTATCAAACTGTCACTATGTTTAACACAAAACAGTGCCACATGCAACAATATAACATACATGAGAATATATTGTAAGGACAAAGCAAACTCTAACGCAGCCTCAGTCATCTCAGCTCACACTGTATCCGTGGCTGAGGATATGTTGGAATATTTGCTGCCAGATGTGCCTGATTTTAAATCTTTTAACATATTCATTTAGTGAAAATAGATCCTTAAGATCCACTTCATTTGAATCAAAATGTGCAGCGGACCTGACGGAAAAGAGGAGAAGTTAGTCTTGTATACTTCGTCTTGGGTGCCAGGACTAAGTTTTCCAAAGGATTTTATACACTCACTTTCCAAGCTTTTGGTCAGAATGTGCTTTGACATATTTTTTTATTTTTACCATGTTTTTTTTTCATTTAATTTTACATTTATGTTTCTCATTCAATCAGTTTAATTTCATTCTCGATTTGCACTTTTTATCTGAGAAAAATGCCTTGTGGAAATAAAAAAGAAAAGTTAAATTACTTCCATTTTTCACATTAATAACATTCCAGGGCTATCAGTAAACATGTGTATCTCAGCAAGATTTTCTTGCTAATCTCCATGTAAAGACAGACCGTACAGGCAGAAAATAGTGATCACACAAAATCAGTTGTTGAATTGAATATTTGCAGATAAAAGCTAATTAGCTTCACACAGTTCATTTTAATTAGCTGATAAATGCCGAGTGCGTCTTCCTGTGTAGTGAGGGGTTGTGGGAGGGGTGGAGGGAGGAGTGTGTACGGCGTGCATGCTTTTGCCCACAGAGACACGGCGCTCGCTCACTGTGCTTTCTCTGCATTGTAGGAGCTGTCCATTGTCACTGGTGCTGAAACCGGATTACCGCGTCCCTTCTT